ATCTTTGTTTCAAAGTGGCAAATCAGTTAATGTTGGTAACGTTTCTTTTGGCCCTCAGTTTATAACCATCTGGGGTATTTCCAAATAACGACATCCTATGAGCTTCCAACGTTCTTTTTGTCCGTTTGTTTAGGCTGAAGAAATTAATTAACATGCGCCCTTTGTCTGAGATTCAGAGATTACAGGTAACCAATCAATGTTCTTGAACACGGTAGTCCAGTCTCTTGTCACGCTCAATTGCGTCAGTGAGCAAATCGGCAGATGGTGAGCCCCAGCTGGCAGTGTTAGACAGCCGAGAAAAAGATTAGTGCCCCTTTAAACCGACAAGCCGGGATATAACTAAAATATACACACTGTTCAAAGCAGTGTTATGCCAAACTCACTCACTTATTCAGAGTCATGCCGGTCCCCCAGGCTGGATATTGGGGGTACTTTTCCAGTATAAGCATGCCTGTCATTTGAATGTTAAGGCCGCAATAAAATTAATAGTTACAGTTTGATTGATTTTTTAAAAACATGGGAGACAGGAGGCATTTTAGTTTTAACGTTTTGTATTTTGTTCTTATCGACCTACTTTAGGCATATGTGTACAATTGCAGTCGGCGGATGCGATTCGCATGCATCATGTGTGCTCAGTAGGGCTACGTGTACGGAGTATTTTATCAGGTAAAGAAAGTAGGAACACTCATATTAACGATACTTCTATTTCTAGGAATTTGAGGGCATTAGAATAATGTAAGGCAGGATGTTTGTTGTCAGGCGGCAGCGGATGAAAATCAATTAATTAAAGTAGCGAATATGGTATCGTATAAAAAAAAAAAAAAAAAACATCATCGGACAATATCATTTTATCCGAATGCTACAAATTGGTCTGTGAGAATTTTATTTTAATGAATATTCTAGCCGTGTATAAAATTGCCTCATTGAGAAACTCACAGGCTTGTGATTATTTCTGTAACTGACAGTGTAGCCGCGAATAACTGCAATACTGCTGATGCGGCTTTTAAGCAATATTACTCACTCACTCACTGACGGTAATAGTTTTGTTTCCAGCTTTCGGACACATTTATGTTTTCACCATCATTTGACATTCATAGACACGATTTCTTTTGTTAAATTATATTGAGCATGTTTAGGGTTTTATTATAAAGTACATAGGAAACTGTAACAACGGGAGATGACTCAGACTTTGTGTATGTAAATTACATAGCATTTTCAAGCTCAAGTCATAAGTTTGCTAAATGCTACTTGGAGAATGAAGAGCATGAAAGAAGCATGACCAAAGGACCACTAACGTGCGCATGCGCTTGACCTTATGATATTACACATGCGCACGGACAGCGTCTAAAACGCGAGAACACGAGAACGCGAGATCGCGAGAAAATGAAATGTCGCATTCTCGCGTTCTCGCGATTTCGTGTTTTTGTGGCCTAATTTGACAAGTCGAGATTGCGAGATTGCGAGATTTTGCATCATGTCCAAATGTCGCATTCTCGCGTTGTCGACTTTTGACAAAAAGTGCTATGTACCAAAAACACGAGAATGCGAGATCGCGAGAACGCGAGATTTTGGCCAAATCTCGCGTTCTCGCGATCTCGCATTCTCGTGTTTTGGGTATATTTACCTCGTTTCCAAAGGTCGAGATCGCGAGAATGCGAGATCGCGAGAATGTCCCTTACAGTATTCCATACATATGTTTGTGTGCATTATTTTCACACTTAATCATTTTTCTGATGACATGGCTATCAACAATAAGACGGCCTCACTGCACACTTTGGATAGCGGAAATACAAAATATAAACACAAACACGGTTTGAGCAGCAGTTGTAAGAAGTATATAACAAAGTCTTTCAAAGAATAGAAATTACACAATGGACATTCGGTGAGTTATCACTGCTGGGGTCAAGAGTTCTACCCACTCGTGTCAAGCTTGTTGACACCCTCCTGCATACCAATCAGTGAACTGTTTTTGGTTAAATATTTTACTGCCTTCGAACTTCCTTAATGCCAGTCAACAGAGTGAACATATAAAGTGTATGTTGTTTGAAGGGAAAATACTGTTTATTGTTTTTTACGGAAGTGACCTACTTAGTGCTAATAAGCGGTGCTATTTGCTGTTTGATTTGATTAAGGTAAGGATATGAAGAGGAAGAATGAAGAAGAAGAATGATATTTTATTAAAGTGTCACATGTTGTACATAAGCAGATCAATTATATTTTTCTTCCACTGGGGATGGCACTGATATTGAGTCGCATTTTTGGCTGGGGGTCAGCAGTCGTAGTACGGTTATAACGAACTCAAAGGGACTACTAATTTTAGTTCGTTATAACCGTAGTTCGTTATAAACATATATACAGCATAACTACAGCAAATAGTCGGGACCAAAAAAGTAAGTTCGTTATATCCGTCAGTTCGTTATAAGAATGTTCGTTATAACCGTTGTTTACTGTAATTTGGAGACGGATTAATGTCTAAAGGCTTTACACTATTTTATAGTTTATAGTCATTACTATATGAACAAACAAGATTCTAATGTGCCCAATGTCAGGGGATTGTGATAGCGCTGTTTTCTTGTTTACTTACATTGTTTAATTACTAACTCAAAGAATAAAGGAGAGAAAGAATAGACTTCATGATCAAAATACATGCTTCAGCTGAGATGCGACCGCCTCCGTGATCGAGTGGTAGAGCGTCCGCCCGGAGAGCTGAAGGTCCGGAATACCAAAAGACGTTAAAAGATGGTACTTGTTGTTACCTTGCCTGGCGCTCGGCATAAAGGGGCTAAAATAAGGACTGGGCGGCTCGGAGTCAGTATACTGTGTCTGAGTGGGGTATTCATGTCAAACTGCGGCATGGTATCTCAGTGTGCTAGCACTATAAATCTGCATCAGTCCGGACTAGTACAAGCAGCCACACACACACATGTACACACACACACACACGTGCATGCAGGTCACTACAGTAAACTACGGTTATAACGAACACGCTTATAACGAACTGACGGTTATAACGAACTTACTTTTTTGGTCCCGACTATTTGCTGTAGTTATGCTGTATATATGCTTATAACGAACTGCGGTTATAACGAACTAAAATTAGTAGTCCCTTTGAGTTCGTTATAACCGTAGTTTACTGTATATAAGTGCACTAATCTTGGACGCGACGTTAAACCCAATTTCACCTCACCTCATCTCACCTTGGCGTACTCCTAAATTACGAAAGAAGAAATTACGCATGACTTGGATTGGTACTGAGCAGATGGTTGAGAAACATCTCTGTTTTTCTGTATACATATACCGTTACGTGACTGTAAGGATATTTTTGTGAAGACCTAACATATGTATGGGTGTCGATCGCACCAAGAATATGTTCCATTCCCACATGTGTAATGTCGTGTTTACCATGCATCAGTCACAATTCAAATACAAGCGACAAAACCCTTTCCCAAATCGTAAGAAATGTACAGTTGTACAATTCCGACTGTATCATGAGCATGTGTTTATGAATCACTGTCAAATTCTATGAGACCAGGTGTTCGCTAAACTGTTTTATGTGTAACACCTGTGATTGTATACTCAACACAACCTCATTAATACACCACCATTATTGAAAAGATATAGCCAAAAAGGACACAATATATGGATAAAAACTTCTTTTTACTGTAATGGCGACTTTTACGTATAGATCCTTACACCGTTGCCAAACAAGGACAAAGATATAAGGATCTATACCGAAACGTCGCCATTATAGTAAGACAAGGAGCCGTTATCCATGAATTGTGTCTACTTTGTCACCCGTCAGATGCCTATTAAACAATTCAATATATAGCCAGGAAAATAGCCTCTAAACAACTCGTAAATCATCAACTGAATTCTTGCACCCACACTATATTGCACCAATACGCACCAGTAACAGCCCCTCAAAGGAGCTTGGCATTTCAAAAACTGAAATGGGGAAGATTAAGTTAGTTCCAGAATACAGTCAAGCCTCGTCCATCCGACACTCGTTAATCCGACGATCGGCTTTATCCGACACAAATGATGGGAACCGATTAAATCAGTGCTATTTAGACCCGTTAATCCGACAGTCTCACACTCCGACTCCGATACACCTAATTTGCAACAAATTACCGAAATCACTCATTAATCAGTCTCGTTAATCCCGACACAGTGATCAGCGTACTCCGTGGTCATCTGCCGTGAGTACACAGCCCGTGTTTTGATGCGAGACGAGTCGGCGAGTAGCTGCATATTTCAACGGCTGTAGAGATAAACTTGCTTAACAATAAACAATTACTACTTTAAATATACAAAACAGGATTAATCATGCCTAGATTACCTCAATTTAATTAAAATCGGATACAAGTTCTCGCTACCGCTGAGGACATCCCATTACAGGTCACGCCAGAATGAACTTTCGCGAACTTTTTAAATGTTTTAAAACATTGCTTCAGGTTTTACAAGAGAAATCGTTCACTGGATGTGCTGATCTTGTACAGTGTATCTGGGTCTACCTTTCAGAGAAAGAAATTGTATTTCTTGAAACTCTGTCAGAAGGAATATTCTGTCTCCAACAAGTCACGACCAATGAAGTGAATGTGCTCACCGTTGCGCATAATGATGAGGATGATACACGCAATCTCTCTCCAATAACAGCTGTAAATACAGATTAAAATCAGTTAACAATGGATCTGGGAAATATGAAAATAAAAAGATCCTGAAAATCTCCATTACTAATGAACTACACTATTTTATCCATACATCAACTCTACTGAAATAATGACCGTGTCCCTATTTCCAAATACGACACCTCATTACGGATATTAAGTCAACACGTGGCGGAATTATGCTACAGTGATAATAGTATGATTTATAAAATACATTTCCGTTTTCCATCAGAACCAGCGGTATTGTTATTAAAAATAATCAAAGTCGTTCCCAACTGTTATAAATACCAATCAATAGTGCACACTCTCTATAAATACCAGGTGCACCAGGAGTTTAGACAAGGATGCTGCTGTACGTGATCGTGGCATGGTGCTCTCTGGCACATGCTGCTGCTGCAACTTGTTCACACAGCGATTCCAGTCTTCTAGATTGGGACTCGACGGAGGCTTGGGATGGGGCGGAGAACATACCCGAGGCTAAAGAGGTAGCCACCATAGCTACTGGGAAGCACATTCGCCTCAACGTTATCCCGCCAGACCTAAAAGGAATTGTTATTGAGTCTGGGGCCAGTCTTGTTTGGGGCGATGTTAAGGATCTTGTCGTCACGACGGACTACATCCACGTCAAGGGCAAGTTTATCGTCGGGGATAAAGATTGTCCTTTTACCAAGAAGGCTCATATAAGATTGACAGGTAATTATAATAATCATAAAAAAAGTATTCACTTGAAACTTGGACTTGATGAAAACATTTTTTTACAAATGTTACTAGGCTGAAAAAACTCGCCGAAACACTGCAAACTTACGATCCAAAACGCAACTATGATACCCGTGTCAAATACATCAAATACATCGCCACCGAATTTCATTTCTTGTTCGTTTCTTTTTTAGCCACCATCAAATTGAACATGCGTGTATACTTCCGCCCTTCAGTTCAGTATATATCTGATGTCATTTTCGTGAATTGATCTCAAACCTTATTTCGTTTGTGAGTACGCTCATGCGTCTCGTGTCATCATTAATTGTAGGGGACACGGGTGGCCAAGTCGTCAAATAAACCGGAATTCGATGTACTGAGTTGCGTCCCTTAAGCACACCAGATGTTTTTCATTGTGGGTTCGAATCCCGGTTCACCCCGATAATGTGTCTAGGTTTGTCAGCACCATGCATGCTCGTTGGTCTCAGACCTGCATCACATCGGGCTTTCCTCCCTCATTAAGCTGACACGTCGGGTTCAACTGTAAAAACCAGCGTTAAACCCAACTCACTCACTCATTACAAATATGTTATTTAATGGAAGGTTCATGAATGTGTATTATTTATTTGAAATTCTTTAACTGAAATACTGTTAAAACCCAACTTACCCACATACTGATTTAAGAACCATTATGTAATGTGACGTCATAATAAGATACAGTAAACTACGGTTATAACGAACTCAAAGGGACCACTAATTTTAGTTCGTAATAACCGTAGTTCGTTATAAGCATATATACAGCATATATGCAACAAATGGCCGGGACTAAAAAACAAGTTCGTTATATCTGCAAGTTCGTTATAAGCGTGTTCGTTATAACCGTAGTTTACTGTACATCAGAACATGACCTGCTTACTTCAGCCTATCACATATAAATAAAAGTGAGAAAATCCTTTCAATATTCATAGGAAATCTCTTCCAAAAGTAGAGATTAATAGTACTGTTCCGACTATATCATGAGCAGGCCTTCATGAATCACTATCAAATAGTGATGACACCAGGTGTTCGCGAAAAGGTGAGCGTATCCTGCCTCACCGGTGGCACTCGTCACAAGCACACGCAAAGGCAAGTCAATTGTTCAAAACACGGGAGCATATGGTTCAAGTCAAAATAGGGAACTGCATCGCACATAATTTTTGTCACTGTTGCGTCAAATTTTCGAAGTGTCCTTTACATGTCTACCATTAAATACATATTTCGTCGAAATGCTCATATCTGCGTCATCTATGCAGGTAAATCCAATACTGGAAACAAAGTGCCGAAATTCGGCATGAAGGTTATAGGGGTAGACGAGGGTGGCACGATAGAACTCCACGGCGCCGTGAAGAAATCGTGGACACAGCTCATACAGACAGCACTGCCGCCCTCGGAAACATGTGGAGTCGTCTTTGATTTCCGGGTAAGTTATTTTCGTTCAAATTAAGAGATTGTGAAAGCTTCAAGAGTAATTCAGAACAAAACATCTTCATATTGATAATACGTTGATGCAATTCTCTGTGCAGAGTTCCGTCCCTTTGTTGACCCAGAATCCTATGATTGTGGTGTCGAATCCCATATTATTGTCCTTGGTTTGTCAACATTAATAGCTCGTAAGCATCATTAGTTTCATCCAAGTGGAACATCTGCAGGACCTGCGTCGAGCATGCCTCCCACGTCAAGCGTCCTGATATAATTGACTCAATATATGCTTGTCGTAAGAGGCGACTATCGGACTACGGGTGGTCAAGGCTCTGTATTAACAACGTCAAGTTGGCGCGGTAAGATGACGCTGCGCAATGAATAAATACCCACCACCGGCTTCTATGGGAAGAAAGATTAAATCGTCTTGATTGTAAAAATACTTATCTTAGGACATATTGAATACACTCAATACAGACCCGTGAACATCCTTAAGGGAGCATCCTCTAAATTTGTGTGGGAAATATATTTGAGAAAATATTTTGGTTCCCCAACCATTTCCAACAAACTATTATTTACTGAGCACCATCAAACAGTTATTAAAACAAACATTGAACAATCAAACAAACTCTTCTTTTTTGTTACCACTGTAAACAAGCTATTCATTTTTAGCATATTTCTAAACAAACTATTTATATGAACCATAGACGTCAAATGGATGCTTCCTAAATGAAAGATATTGTTTGATTTTCGTCAATCATGCCGAAAAATTGAGGTATTAATTTTCAATTTCAATTAATTTACGACCAGCTTGATTCAGTCGAGGGGGCACGGGTGGCCCGGTGGTCTAAGGCGCCGCGATTCGCTGTGCAGAGTTGCGTCCCTTGGACACACCAGAAACCTATGATTGTGGGTTCGAATCCCGGTTCGCCCTGATTATGTTTCTAGGTTTGTCAGCACCATACCCGTGGGTTTCACCGAAGTGGTAAACGTCTGAGACCTGCATTACTTCGGGCTTTCCTCCCACATTAAGCTGACACGACGCAATATAACTGGAATATTGTTAAAATCGGCGTTAACCCCAACTCACTCACTCACTCACTCACTGATTCAGTCGAGTTTACTCTTCAGAGCTATGCACCTCATACATATGGGGTTTATATTGAATGAAATCTGCGTCCTTTGTAGGAAAGTCAGTTCAAGGATGAGAACGGGAAAGGATTGTTTGCCATCGCCTTCAACCTCGACAGTAGCGTTTACGATGTTGGCGTCTTTAAAACAGCAGACGCAAGAGACACAACAGCTGAAGAAAGATTTGATGACTTTATCCGCAGTAAGTTTAGTTGTGTTAGTTAACGTCCTGTACCACAACCACATAGGACTAACGGGATCGAGTTTCTGGTTCGCCTTGATTATGTTTCGAGGTTTGACATGCCCGTGCTCTTAGGTTTCGGCAAAGTGGTAAATGTCTGAGACCTGCATTACTTCTTTAGACATTAATCCGACTCACAGATATAACTGAAATAATGTTCAAACCAGTGTTACCTCACTCACTCACTCACTACTCACTCACTCACTCACTCACTCACTCACTCACTCACTCACTCACTCACAAGATCTGGCTGCCCGTGAAGATCCAGGGTAGAAAATGCCTTCAGCAACCCATGCTTGCTATAAAAGGCAAATGTGCTTGTTGTAAGAGGCGACTAAGGGTATCGGGTGGTCAGGCTCGCTGACTTGGTTGATGCATGTCATCGTATCCTTATTGCGTGGGTCGATGATCATGTCAATCACTGGATTGTCTGGCCCAGACTCGATTATTTACAGACCGACGCCATATAGCTGGAATATTGCTGAGTGCGGCGTTAAACAACAAACAAACAAACAAACACAACCACATAGCTTGCATGAATATGATATCTGTTTTACCACGACGTTTTAAACGCGATATATTTAAGTCTTTGTTTTTGAAAACACTGTTCAAGGAACATGGATTGAGTCAAAGGTTGTGAACAGGTTGCCATCCTCCAGCAGCGTGGGTGATGACGTAAATCCTGCTGGGGTATCATGCAGGAAGCTGGGGCACCGAAATCCCATGATCCCTGCGAGGTGGCCTAGCTTTGGCTGCTTGTGGCTTGAAGTTGTGAATAGTTGTAAACGGTATTATTATTCAGGATATGTTTGACAAATTTGCTTTAAATATAACTTTGATGTATTTAAATGAAGATTGTAAAATAAATTACGATCTCTAAATAATGCCGATGCGACGTTACGTCTTAACTCACTCACACACACACACTCACGCACGCACGCACGCACGCACGCACGCACGCACGCACGCACTCACCCACTCACTCACGGAACCATCCGCCATCGCCACTAAACAACGTGTTTGGCTAGGGGACAGAAATGTATTTTCCTTCAAGTATGCTAAATGTGCGGTTATGAATTTTAGTGTGACACCAAGAACAGTATTTTTATGCATCTTGGACATCGAACCATTTCACCATGAACTAATATGCACACTTTCTATCATTGAAATATACGTGTATACCATTTCCATTAATAATACTCTAAAAATGTTATACCAGCGCAGTGTTATTGTGATTTGAATTTTCTGATTGACCGATGACATTCGAGAATTCCCAAAAGACATGACAGCAGAATTAACTTTTGACATATTCTTACAATTTCATTGAAACTCGAACTTGAATAATGGCATCATCTCTTTAGTACTTGGTTTGCGGATCCGACGATCCAAAATTCAATATTTTGAGGACAGCTTTATTTCAATTATGAAAAGCTCTTCAAAATAAGTAATGAACAAAGCCTTATATAGTGTTTCTGCTTTTCTCAGACATACCCGACGATAAGATTCTGGTCGTCGCTGTGAACAGATTCCTCGGAAGGGGAACAGTGACACGTGACTGGGACACGATCTACGCAGCCGTGGAAAGTGTGGGGGGTCTGACTTCATCGCAGCTGAGGAACGTCCGGGGTCAAGAAGCATATGCCTTTATCACGAGGACAGGTTTGTCATTCAGAATTGACTTGTTTGTCTGCAGTAAGGAACGAACATAGTTTGAAACAGTAGCATTGAAATACTGCATCAGTACAAGGAATGTCTACCGTGCCCTGTGAGCCATTGTACAAAACGATCTTAGCGCTAAGGTAACTGCCATGCCTAAACAATGACAGTCGCAGCACTAAGGTTGTTTAAACAACGGTACCATGGACCTCAGTTTATCAATACCCTGCCATTCCTGGTACATTAATGCAAGACAGCTATTGTTATCATAAGAGACCTGCGTCAACTATGCATACCAATTTTGTTTGTTTGTTTGTTGTTTAACGCCGCACTCAGCAATATTCCAGCTATACGACGGCGGTCTGTGAATCGAGCCTGGACCAGACAATCTAGTGATAGTGACATCATGAGCATCGATCCACACAATTGGGATACGATGACAGGCATCAACCAAGTCAGCGAGCCTGACCACCTGGGCCCCCTTGCACAAAGCGATCTTAGCGCTAAGATGATCTTAACTCCCATACTTTAACATAGGCTTACAATAGTCGTAGCGCTAAGATCGCTTTGTGCAAGTGGGCCCTGATCCCGTTAGTCGCATTTTACGGCAAGCATGGCCATGGGTTGCTGAAGACCTATTCAACCCCGGATCTTCACGGGTCTACATACCAATTAGTAATATACGATATCTATTTTTATTTTTATTTATTTTCATCTTGATGTTTCGTCTATACTTCACGCGACTGTGTTCACTACGTTCGTCAACCCATTGGGTCGATAAGCGGCGGCATGGTGACGAGTGCATATTTTACGTTAGTTAATGAGATTTGGCCGTGTTTAACTCGCGGAAATCAAATGTGCCCTACTCCATGCACGAACCTTGTGCGAATCGTACCATTGCCAGACATTGGATCAGCGTGTAGAGCCGATATCGCCAGGTAACGGCACACGCTGCAACACCGCATGCAGTCCCGTGTCATGGAGGAACATAGTATGTGAGAGGTGAGGTGAAATGGGGTTTAACGTCGCGTCCAAGATTATTGCACTTATATAGCGACGTGCAAGTACGTGTGTGTGTTTGTGTGGCTGCTTGTACTAGTCCGGACTGATGCCCATTTATAGTGCTAGCTCACTGAGATACCATGCCGCAGTTTAACATGAATACCCCACTCAGACTCCGAGCCGACCAGTCCTTGTTTTAGCCCCTTAATGCCTACCGCTAGGGAAAGAAAAAATTCAAACGTATTGATCACCCTAACATATGATTTACACAGCATGTATTGCAGTGTGGTGAGAACCATTGTATCTTTACATTAATAAAGTGTTCTTACTGTATGTGCGTTCACTTTGTGTTTTAGGGGATGCAAGTTCTACTCTGGAAGAACACGCCCGCAACAGGAACAATGAAGCGTCTGTTTCCACTAGCGAGCTGGCCATATTCGACGACACCAATAACCTGAAATTCTCCGTGAAAAGCACCGTGTATGCCACGATGACCAGGGGCCTTGACATCCGGGTTCTAGCAGCTGACGTAGCACGGCCTAAGATTAAGCTCAACGATGACGTCACTTCATGGGTACCCGGTAAGAGACTTTACCTTTGGTAATATGCAAAAGTCTTCCTCAGATTTACAATGTGTAACATGTATTCCAGAAGGCGACATCAAGATGGCCCAGAACAGTGGTCAATCCAAGTTTCGTTTAAAAACCCTTTACAAAATAAACTGCGGGGCAAAGGAAAATATACACCCCTGTTTGATGGTTAAAAATGAACCAAGCTAGAAATGGTGAGGTGAGGTGAGGTGAGGCACTTATATATCGCCGTGCATGCACGTGTATGTGTGTGTGTAGCTGCTTGTACTAGTCCGGACTGATGCCGATTTATAGTGCTAGCTCACTGAGATACCATGCTGCAGTTTAACATGAATACCCCACTCAGACACAGTATACTGACTCCGAGCCGACCAGTCCTTGTTTTAGCCCCTTAATGTCGAGCGCCAGACAGGGTAACAACAAGTACCATCTTTTAACGTCTTTTTGTATGACGCGGCCGGGGATCGAACCCCGGACCTTCCGCTCTCCGGGCGGACGCTCTACCACAAGACTACGGAGGCGGTCCAAGAAATGGTTATTCGATGGTATCATATGGTACGGGTATCATGGTTGTGTTTTAACACTCAACTTTCCAGTGTTTCGGCGACTGTTCCGACCCAGTAACGTTTTGATAATGTTTGGAAAATTTTGGTCAAATCCAATTTTCCAGTGAATATTTTCCTTTGTTAGGAAGTTTAGATCATTGAAGGTAACTGAAGACATCTTCGTGAACGATTCAATTACTGTGTTGTACTTCAAATTCTTTTTCCGTTTTCAATTTAGGAATATATTTGCTCGAAGTTATCGGAGGCACGGGAGGCCCAGTTGTCTAAGGCGCGCAATTTGCTGTGCAAAGTTGCGTCCCTTGGGCACGACAGAAACCTATGATCGTGGGTTCGAATCCCGGTTCACCCCGATTATGTTTCGAGGTTTGTCAGCACCATACCCGCGCTCGTTTGTTTCACCGAAGAGGTAAACGTCTAAGACCCCTCATCACTTCGGGCTTTCCTCCTACATTGAGCTGACACGCCGTGATATAACTGAAATACTGTTAAAAGCGGGGTTAAACCAAACTCACTCTCTCACTCTAGTTGTTCTCTACTTAATTACCGTGACCATTAACAGTGGGTGTGATATGCATCATACAATTTAGACTGCCGGTTTGTTAGCTTATTCTCCCCTTTTAACACATGTTGTTGAACATGCTTGTAGTGAAGGCTACTGAAAAGACAAATCAGATTGGGTTATTTGGTATGTAAGTTTGGTTAAATGCCGCTGTGAAGAATTAAGTTATATCATGGCGTGTCGCCTGAAAGTTATGTCACAGTGCTTAAGGAGCGGTCGGGTAGCCTAGTGGTTAAAGCATTCGCTCGTCACGCCGAAGACCCGGGTTCGACTCCCGACATGGGTACAATGTGTGAAGCCAATTTCTGGTGTCCCCCGCCATGATATTGCTGGAATATTGCTAAAAGCGGCGTAAAACCATACTCACTCACTCACTCAATCACTCACAGTGCTTAAAGTGATGGAAGTCGTCGACGTTTACCCGTTTGCGAAATCCACGAATCTGCACATGATCCTGACAGTCCAAGATCCATAATAGAACCAAATCACTCGGGTCTGAAGACGACTGCTGGTACGACTGAGCAACGAAGCTTTTCAAACCAAAGTGGCCAATGGGCCAGTTGTGCTCATGGATTTGATCGGAGCAGAGCTATGGTTTACTGAGTATTGACGTCTTCAGATGACATTTATGTTACAATGTGAAATATTTAGAAATGTATAAATATGTAGAAATGTGGGGTTAAGCAGTGATCATCGTCTATCTTTTCTATAATGTCCATACGTCGCCGACTTAAGAAGGTTTGATAGGAATTATGAACAAATAATGATGCTTTCTATATAAAAGACATTTATGCCCTTTTCCTTCTTTCATAGGTGACGACATTGTCATAGCATCAACCGATTTTGACTGGAAACAAGCAGAAGAGTTTACACTGGTTGAATGTAGCGACTGTCAAGCCAATGAAGTCCGCCTAGACCGTGAGTTGATTAAACTTTTTTTGTAATTTTTTGGGCAATTCTATATATTTTTCATCTCTTGTGGTCTTCCTTTTCGTAACGAGCAAACATATAACCCTTATTAATCAAACAACATGGAACATCTTCATATCAGAAACCACGTGTAGATTGTATGTCATGGGCATATATACTAAACACTGAAAGTGATTTCAATGCACATCAGCAGACCTTTTTCAGACTTAAAACAACGTTAACAATCCGTGTATACATCCTGATATAGATTGATGCAGGGCTCCGATATCGTATAGAATAGTGACAGCTGCTTCGTCAATCATTATCTAAGATTCTGACATGTTTTGCCCTGAACAAAGATCCCTTCGAATATCTTCACTATGGGGAGGTAACTGAAGGAGTAGATGAGAGAGCGGAAGCTGGGCTCATGACTCGTACCATCTTGATTGAGGGCATCATGGAGGATGAATGCTACGAGTTTGATGACAAGGACAGGTTTCTGTGCAACATTTTCACGAAGGACGTACACGGGGGACATCTAAAGGTGAAAGTGTGCCACTGAATTTCTGATACCATAGCTTGGATAAATTGATTACGTGATGCTATTTTAATTGATATTTGAAAGTGCAAATATTATATTATAAAGGTGGACATTTCCGTGCGTGATAATAGCTATGGGAGAGAGTGAGCGAGCTGGATTTAACGCCGCTTTTAACAGTATTCCACTTATATCACGGCATGTGAGCTTAATGTGGGAGGCTAATAACTATAAGAAGATTCATGGCACCACTCAAGGAATATAATTTCTTGAGACGCAGATGATGATGATTTTTTCTCCCAGAATCTTTAGAACCGAATTTGTTGACATTCTATGATGAGATGGATGTGTCACAATTTCAACAAACTAAATACGTTCAAAATGACAACTGGCAAAAATAATATTTGAGGTAACGAATGTTTGTATGAAGTTATTCTTTATATTATCAGTTTATCATTTATCCGGAAAATATTTTGATATCAAATCATCATCATCTGCGTTTCAAGAAATTATATTCCTTGAGTGGTGCCTCGTGACATGTTTGCTATCAGCAACTCATGTCAAGAGGCTGTCTTTGTTGACATTTTAAGCTGTCAATAACGTATTCAGGTGAGATGCTGTGCAGTGACACAATTTATTCACACATGTTTCGCTAATATTCCAAATGTCTTCGCTATTAAGATCATTCGAGGATTTACTGCTGCTCACATCGAAGGAGTTGAACTTTATCATATGGGACAACAGAAATTCGTAGGTAAGTTACGAAACATTTCCTAAGAAATTAATAGGGTGACAAGACTCAAATAGACTCTGCTGTATCTCATTTTTTATACAGTGGAGGATGAATCAACTACTTGCTTAACGAAACAGTCACGTCTGCTGAATACAAAACATTAACGTCAGAGAATAATCTGTCTCAAGTATCTACCAACACAGAAGGTAAAATTGTCATGAAAATAATATGAATGGATCACTGAAAATCAGTAACGAGACCAGGAGTTAGCGAAAAGGGTAAACATGTCCTGCTAAGGGCATGAGGATACAAATATGAAACATTGATATTATATATTATTTATTAACTTGTTTGCAGATGATATGATTAGATTTGTATGTTCCAGATGAACATACAAACCCAGCTAAATAGTAACAAATGTTACTCTTTGTAAAGTACAGATTCTTGACTTTTGGGGTTTGAGTCCCATCCGGGATTCGAACCCACACTGCCAGAGTGAGACACCTTATCGCCAGCACACAATGACAGCGATTTTACTCGCTCAGCTTCCACCGAAATGAAAGTTCGACAGTTGATAGTCTAGATCACGTACATTGTGTACCCCTCTGATCAGCTTAATTTGTTAAAAAATGTAGTTGTTGACTGCGGTGTACGTTGAACACTGGCAAAACCAAATTCATGTTAGTAGAAAGCTAAAATAGAATGATAACTTGGATTGGAGTTGCATTCATTCCATGTCCCGTGTCCCATGTTGTTTATGCCCCATAACAAATGGGAAGATACATACATAAAACAACTTGAACAAACTTGACATTGATAGAATGTACAGAAAATAGAGTTGCCCTGATATCGCCATATGATACGAAAACATTTAAACGAACCATTGACATCGTCATCTACGCTGTCCAAACAGTGAAAACATTTCTCTATTCTGGACAGGTCCGCTCGTACACCTTCATACCGACCGGTTTCCACTCGAATAAAAGCCACGACACACCTAAACTTGGCTAGTGTCGATCTAAAGATTCTAGGCTTCTTATTTAAAACATAAAATTCTGTCCCATACACTTGCTTGTAACATCCATACACTTGCTTGTAACATCCGTACACTCTCAATTTGTTAAGCCCATTTCGCCACACCCATTTTCTTAACACATCACTCCAATGGGTAACATACTAATTCATACGCCATTGTTCCACCTGTGTTTACACAGAAATGTTATCTACAGAACCTGTTGCTTTCAACAGGTGTCCTTAATCCATATTTCTGAACCCTGCCATTCCAATTGTTACAACTATTTACAGCCTTGAAACACGGTTGTTTAACCTACTAGGCATATTCTAAGTGCAATTTGGACGCGACGTTGAACCCAAATTTCACCTCACATCGCTTTATGTAGTGCTGACATAATCTGTGTATTGAACAACAAGGGGAATGACTCCTGTTTTCCCTGACTGCAGGAAGCTACCCGCTTCACTTTCACATGTGCGATGACGTGGAAGGTAACTGGTTCCGCAACAACTCCATCCATCACTCCCTGACTCGCTGTGTGACAGTACACGGCACCGACCATGCCGAGGTGGGTGTCTTTCTCATAAACACTTCTCCATTCCTTGGCTGAATATTAGGAAATCCTTGTTTCAAAGTTTAAAATAATTCCGGACGTCAAGGCTTTCCAAATAGGACCACAGAGAGACTCACTCACTCACTCACTCAAGGACAATCGTAATGAATCAATCTCCATGGAAACTTTTAATATTCACAATTTATATATGCTCCTTTTGTAATGTCGAAACCGACTGTCTAAATGTTGTTGAGTAACATGTTCCGACATGATTTTGAAGAATACTAGATCAAGAGTGACTGGTTGGGTTTGTGGGTTGGTTGGGTGAGCGAGTTTGGCGGAGACCTGCATTTAATTCAGTCAGGTCGTACATTGTAACCATCCTGTTCGAAGTGTCATGAGTCGGCCCGTACTATCATTCTATCCTGGAATCCATGCAGGATTCATGTCTTAATTATAAGTTTTGATTCAGCAATATTCGAGCTCTATCTGAAACAGAAAACAAAATCAAAGCGACAAAACCTTTTCATAATCATAAGAAATCGTTGAATAAAAATCATTCCAAATATCAACACCAATGCTTCAAAGTACCAGAAACTGTCCGGACACGGCGATAACAAAATAGGTTTTGTCTGAAACATACTTTTCAACTTGAAGGTTCTAAATAACAACGCTTTCAGTAACGGATACCACCAGAATGCATTTTCCACGATATACGTGTTATCTGCCAAATACACTTAACTTTCTCATCAGAGGTTTTAAGCAGTCCAATAATCTAGAATATTTTTTTTCTCCGCTCTCAGCAATATTACAGCTAAATGACGGCCTTCTGAAAATAATCGAGTCTGAACCAGACAACCCAGTGATTGACATCATGAGAATCGATCTACGCAAGTGGGATATGATGACATGCATCAACCAAGTCAGCGAGCCTGACTCCTCGATCCATTTAACTGCCTCTTACGACAAGCATAGTCGCCTTTTACGACAAGCATGGGTTGGGGAACTACAGTCTTATCCGGAATACCATCATGCTTTTGTGCGTGCATGCGTGCGTGCGTGCGTGCGTGCGTGCGTATGTATGCCAAAATTGATTATGCCTAAAAAGACTTTAAAAGACTACATTAATTCTTATTTTTTTTAAATTAAAAAATAAAGATCCCTTACTGACGGTGATTTTAAACAAATAGCTTGGGTTACTGAATATAATTTCCAACCCGATTTTTTGCGGGATTCTGGAATAGTTAATGTTGTCACGTAACAAAACACAACCACCAAGTCCGGAAAATGAGGATTTTTTAAACTATTTGACAGGTTAGCGACAACATGTGTTACCTGACACATGGGCACGGTTACTTCTTCGAGGACGGCGCCGAGCAATGGAACATCTTCGACGGTAACCTTGGCATCGGTACCCAACACGGCACCCACACTCTTGCAGACATGCGAGTAGACTGGTGTAATGACACGATGAAGCCCTATTGCGAGTAAGTGACGACATTAAATTACCTGGGACGTTGAAACGTTTGCTTGATTTGCCAAGCTTGGCTGTTGTTCCATTGATCCATGAAGCTCTGTGCATAAAGTAGACCCGTGAAGATCCGGGGTAGAATAGGTCTTCACCAACCCATGCTTGCCGTAAAAGGCGACTATGCTTGTCGTAAGAGGCGACTAACGGGATCGGGTGGTCAGGCTCGCTGACTTGGTAAAAGCATGTCATCGATCCCAATTGCGTGGATTGATGCTCATGATGTCAATCACTGGAGTGTCCGGTCCAGACTCGTTTATTTACAGACCGCCGTCATATAGCTGTAATATTGCTGAGTGCGGCGTTAAAGAACAAAAAAAAATTTAGATATGCCGAAACGAAGGGATTGTTCTATGCTTGTTCATTATGTTTTACACGCAGACAATAACACACTTGACCCAAGAGGAACCTAATATCGTAGATATAACGTTATTATCACTTAATACGTTAAAAGTCAAGATATGTCCGTTGAATATAGACTAATATGATAAATGTTATAAACTTTTGACGTCACCTACGTACGTGGACTGGAAGCGATATTAGTATGTCTGAATGTATGGAATCTCAGATAAAAGATCGCTCCACAATTATTGAACGCGTATTCCATGGTAGCCACAAGTTATGGTTAACAACTTCTTTAACACTGTAAAGACGACGTTTTGGTATACATCCTTATACCGTTGTCAAGCAAGACTGATTGAGGGACATAGTACAGAATATATAGTAGGGGGATTAACAGTAACAACAATTGCATACATTAGTGGGATGACAGAAGGATAATGCTGTCACAACACGATGGACAGAGAACACATAGGTGGAAGACAATTACAGTATTAAAGTTGTCATCCGTCAACTTCTAAGTAATACCGGGGTGGTCGGGTAGCCTAGTGGTTAAAGCGTTCACTCGTCACGCCAAAGACCCGGGTTCGATTCCCGACATGGGTACAATGTGTGAAACCCATTTCTGGTGTCCCCCGCCGTGATATTGCTGGAATATTGCTAAAAACGGCGTAAAACTATACTCACTCACTCACTCACTTTAAGTAATACCTATCAAACAGCGTATTCCATGTACAGCATTAATTAAAGCTCAAAAACGTGTAGAAATATATAGTGCAAATAGAAATGGAATAAGGTTGCAAGTTCTTTATACAATATTTAGAGTCGAAATACAAAAGGCTGATGTTTTTCTCTGCCAGCCTGCATGGTAACCAATGCCAAAGGCAATAAAGTGGACCCTCACCAAGCAAACTGACCAAGTTCACTGTGTTATCTCTTCTGGTTAAAAATCCGTTGGGTTCCGGGTATCAATATTGGTCACCAGAGTCCTATGCGTGTCATAAGAGTGAATGAGTTCGATTTTACGCCGCTTTTGGCAATATTCCAGCAACATCACGGCGGGGGGCAGCAGAATTGGGCTTCACACATTTTACCCATGTGGGGAATCGAACCCGGGCCTTCGGCGTGGCGAGCGAACTCTTTAACGACTATACTAAACTCTCCCCCCCCCCCCCCCCCCCGTGTGTCATAAGAGACAACGAAATGGATCATGTGGTCAGGCTCGATGACTTTCTTGGTTGCGTGTTGTCGTATCTCAATTGCACCTATCGATGTTCATGGCGTCAGTCACTGTCAATCTGGCCGCCCAGACTCGATTATTTACAAACCGCCGTAAAATAGCTGAAGTATTGCTGAGTGCGGCGCTAAACATTTTGATTTTGACGTCTAGATTTAGACTGTAATGGTTCCAGATTGGTGAGCCTTTAGCCCCTTTAAGATGTGATTCCAGTTTATGATTTGGGATTTTCAGTGCTTTGTCTACCTTCTGGCTGACACATCCAAACAATTACGTGAGGAACAACGTGGCGGCCGGCTCCGATGTAAGTGAACAAACAGATGCTGGAGTGGACATATTTTTTGCATGTCTGATGTGGATAATATATGCAAAGTCTCGTCAAGCATATGTCCTAGTTTTGTAAGGCGGGGTTAAATAAATGGTCCGTGCTCAACACCATTAAGAAGAAACATAAAAAACTTGAAACTTACTTACTTACTTACGATGAGAAACATGCCTCGGACCATGTGTTAAGCTGTTATCCAGCTTGACACGGATATAAATGAACATATTTTGAGAAAGCATCACTAATCATTAGCGTTTTGCATCATTCTGGTTATCTAGCTCGGTCCAAAGACGTGAACACATTGTCTTAAATAATGGAAGATGGCGTCAGTCATTGTTCATGTCGTCATAAACGATTCAAACTCCAAACTGCGCTGATGTCTCAACTGGTGACACCCACATTTTTCAATATTTCCTCATAAAAAAGACTGCGTACTTTTCAGAACAACTTACTCGCAATACGGAATAAATAAAACCACATTAATTCACTCGGGACAGATAATCCTTATTTTCTCCTAGGGTATACCTCAGTTTGAAAACACTGATCGTTCCTTGTTTCACAGAACGCTGGCTACTGGTACCTCGTCTCATCACTACCCCTTGGGCCCTCTAGGGCTAGACAGGAGGAGAGGAAGCTGGTCGGGTTCAAACACGCTTTCCATTCCAAGATCCTGGAATATAATAACAATGTGGCTCACTCCTGTAAAGGGGTAAGTTGTAAAATTGCTATAAAACCTTGGAGCAAGTTAAGAATGAAATATGACTGGAGAGAGTGAGTGAGTAAGTATAGTTTTACACAGCTTTTAGCAATATTCCAGCAATAACACAGAGGGGGGCACCAGAAAAGGTTTTGACATTACAAAAGGAGCATATATAAATTGTGAATTTTAAAAGTTTCCATTGAGTAGCAGATTGATTCATTACGATTGTCCTTGAGCGAGTGAGTGAGTGAGTGTGGTTTTACGCCGCTTTTAGCAATATTCCCGCAATATCACGGCGGGGGACACCAGAAATGGGCTTCACACATTGTACCCATGTCGGGAATCGAACCCGGGTCGTCGTCGTGACGAGCGAACGCTTTTACCGCTAGGTTACCCGACCACCCCAAATATGACTGGAATTGTGTAAGTTATGAGGTACTAGCATATGCACCGACATATCGCATTTAAAGAATGAAAAGGAAGTTGTAATCCACAGGTGGATCGTGCCGAAATGCTACACTTTCTAAGGGCCATTGACATATACAAGTTCGCGTTCCCAATTTGTTATACTCAGTCATACCAAGGCAGTTAAGGCTATATAACCTAATAGTCCATGTTTGTTGATAAATCGTATGCTATGCTGACGCCTGTATGCATGGTTAACCAAGGGCTATTTCCGTCTTACAGCGAGGACTACGTATTGATGACCGTCTGTCTGATGGCGAGTATGATGATAAAGGTGTGTGGGTTCCTCAGAATGGGGTGTTCCAGGCGCAGACCACCCACGTGCCTAAAGACCCCCCACAACCTGATGGGAAAACCGTTACCTCCTATATGAGCAGGTATGACAATGTTGTGTGAGCCGCTGTCATATCACACATGTATAAAGTTAAATAATAGACCGTCCGCCTCCGTGGTCTAGTGGTAGAGCGTCCGCCCGGAGAGCGGAAGGTCCGGGGTTCCATCCCCGTCCGCGTCATACAAAAAGACGTTAAAAGATGGTACTTGTTGTTGCCCTGTCTGGCGCTCGGCATTAAGGGGCTAAAACGAGGACTGGTCGGCTCGGAGTCAGAGTCAGTATACTGTGTCTGAGTGGGGTATTCATGTTAAACTGCGGCATGGTATCTCAGTGGGCTAGCACTATAAATCGGCATCAGTCCGGACTGGTACAAGCAGCCACACATACACGTGCATGCACGTCACTATATAATCTTGGACGCGACGTTAAACCCCATTTCTCCTCACCTAAATAATAGACCAGGCAAACCAGTACTTGACCAGTGGTTGAAACGATCCACAACGTCGGGTCACATTGACAAACAATCAGCCTGGTCACACATTGTCACCAACGATCATATTATATAACATTGCCACCAACGATCATATTATATAACATTGTCACCAACGATCATATTATATAACATTGTCACCAACGATCATATTATATAACATTGTCACCAACGATCATATTATATAACATTGCCACCAACGATCATATTATATAACATTGTCACCAACGATCATATTATATAACATTATCACCAACGATCATATAATATAACATTGTCACCAACGATCATATTATATAACATTGTCACCAACGATCATATTATATAACATTGTCACCAACGATCATATTATATAACATTGTCACCAACGATCATATTATATAACATTGCCACCAACGATCATATTATATAACATTGTCAACAACGATCATATTATATAACATTATCACCAACGATCATATAATATAACATTGTCACCAACGATCATATTATATAACATTGTCACCAACGATCATATTATATAACATTGTCACCAACGATCATATTATATAACATTGTCACCAACGATCATATTATATAACATTGTCACCAACGATCATATTATATAACATTGTCACCAACGATCATTATATGAAGCATTATCATCTACGATTATTTGATCAAACATTATCACCGTCGATCTTGTTTTATAACATCGTCACCAACAGTCGTTTCGTGAACTATTGTCACCAAGGATCAGTTTATGAAACATTGTCACCAAGAATATTTTTACGAAACATTGTCAACAACGATCATATTATATAACATTGTCACCAACGGTCATTTCATGAAATATTGTCACCAAGGATCAGTTTATAAAACCTTGTTACCAAGAATCATTTTATGAAACATTGTCACCGACGATACCTCCAACACTATTATCAATACTATCAAATTTTAAGGGAATACATGTGATACAAGAACATAAATGTCATGTTGTTTTTTTAACCAGGTCCCGTTTTTATAAGAATTCGAACCAGAATGTATGGACTAAAGGCGGGAATCTGGTGATGAACCGCTTCACGTAAGTCAACAATTTCAAGACTCTTCATTCATACCTCAAGTACATATACACTTCGTTCATCTCTACTTTACTGTAACACTTTCTAAGAAAGGAAATGTAAGTGCTCCAAATAATTCTAGGGTAATTTCTATATTAAGTATATTTAGTAAGATATATTTCAATTCAGAATTCTCGTTTACCGTTTTAGGCTGATGAATATGAAACAATTGTGGAATTGCAAGCAGGATTTCGCAATGGATAATGAACCACTGATACTATATGTATGCTGCAATCTCTTATTAATAGATTTTAAAAATAAAATGCGATGTAAAATGTATGTTTTGTTCATCGATTTTTCTAAAGCACTCGATTTAATTAATAGGACAAAATTGTGGAATGTACTCCAGAGATGATTGTTTAAAATGTTAAAATATATCCAGGCTATTTATTCTAAATACCGTTCATGTGGAACATATAATAATATTTATTCAGACTTATTTTTAATGTAACATCGGTGTTCGCCAAGGTTGTGTACTCAGCCCATATGTATTTTTGATGTTTTGTTATGAGTTTTCTTATGAAATTGAATGATCCTGTAGTCACGGTATCCAATTGCTACCAGACATCGTATATTCGGCGTAAAACCATACTCACTCACTCACTCACTATTATACGTATTTCTGACATTATTGGTGGATTACAGAGACACATTGGGGTCCTAGAAAAATGTAACTGTAACTCTAACTATCAACTAACTATTAACTATAATGTATATTGGTTGGTGGAAATCGTGTTCCTAGCTTCCAACCTATCTTGAAAAGAAGTGCAGTAGCTCTGATGTGGCTAAGAACAATGTAACATTACGTTGATTTTCAGGATAGCAGATTCGGTTCGTGGACTGACCATGGCTAGAAGCGACCCACATACATACACAGAAATAAAGAATTCAGTCTTTGTTGGAGAAACTGGCAATCTTGGTCTTAAACAGGAGCCATTTGGTCGCTCCCGGCCCGCATTGGCGTGAGTTATTTTCATGTCAGTTTTATAAAACTTTTGAAGGTTCACTAAGATAGTATGTTGTAGTAAAAAAGGGCGAAATAGATCCTTTCAATAATCATTATAATTTTCTGCAGTGAATAATTTCTAAAACAGTGATGGTACTAGGTGTTTGCGTAAAGGTGAGCGTAGTCTACCCCACCATGTAAAGGCTAGTTCACCTTGATATATTGTTAAGTCAAAAGTCAAAATAGGGAATTGCATCATTTTGATCATTGATGCGTCGCATATGTAAATGTGTACTGCACACGTCTATGGACCTTACCCAATGTCGATTTCGTTCCGCTATTTTGATTGGACTATGCAGACTTGTTAGCCCAGCTAAAAGTAACTCCATAATTCCAGCCCAACGGTGGAAACTGGACGTTTACAGTTAATTCCCCTTTAAAAGCTCTGCTAAGGCCTTGCTGTAAGCTGATCAAACAACATTTGAGCAAGAACGTATGTGCGTTGAAAGTTGTGAAATGTAGACGCCAACATATATATTTGCGTTCTACTTCAGCAAAATCATGATTTGACTCGTGATGCCACATTCATTTGGCGTTGATTTTCATATACAGTAAACTACGGTTGTAACGAACACGCTTATAACGAATTGACCGATATTACGAACTTATGTTTTAGTCCCGGCCATTTATTGTATTTAAGCATTGACTGTGTATTTTGTTTCGGTTCATTGAGGAATGAATCGAAAAACCGATGTGCAAACAAAAGTTATACATCGGTTTTTCGATTCATACCTCAATGAACAGAATAAAATACACAGTCAATGCTTATAATTAAATTCGACAACGTAATACATGTTTTATCTACAATAGTTTAACCAAAAACAGTTGTATATATCAAAACAGACAAAAATGACGGGATTGATAAACATTCAAGGTGTAGGAATACATACTGTGGCGTGACATGAATCAGGTGATCGTTTAATTTATGCACATAACTTGACACGCCTACACAGTCAGTAGCCAATCAGTGGAGGGTAGGATCAAAACAATGTTCATTGGACCTGTCTATTAAGGCAAGAGGCGAAAAGAACTGCAACAGTCAGACTGGAACGAACCGGAAGAAATATGTCCGGGGGAAGGCGGCTGTTTCAAATAAAATGGTCAGTTACCGCCAAATTCAAACATTACTTCCCTGATTACGGTAAAACACAGTTCGAAAAATTCTAGTTAGAAATGAAACCCGAAATCATGAAAGTGGAACCGAGGCGAGCGGGAAAAAAAACAGGCGAGCGACCCTGCACGCTTGTTGTTTCATTCATTCTCGGCCTTCAGTTTCAAAGGGTAGTTTGGACAATGAATATGCATGTAAGTCGCTAAATGTCCTGTGCATGACGACACACGTGAGCAGAAAGGGAATTCCCTCGACTGTAATATTGGGATTCCCCGGCATTCCGCAGTAATAAAAGTAGTGCGCCTCGGTGGGCGTGGCTTTTACATTCATTGGGAAATTAATGCAATAACACGTGACAAATTGAGCCAATCAGAATGCAGGAATTTCAATGAACACAACGGAATTTTAATTATATATACTTATAACGAACTACGGTTATAACGAACTAAAATTAGTGATCACTATTAGTTATAACCGTAGCGCATGTTGCACGGCGTGGAGTCGATCCAGAGATCCTTCAAATTTGTGTTGTGTGTTGAAATCTGTGTTGTTACATTTGATATTCGAATTGCCCCAAGGTATTTGTCATAATCTAATAGAAGCACTAGCTGGTTAAACGACGATGTAATGGTCAAGGACAACTATAAATTATGTCAAAATGTACGGAGAAATAGGCATATACAATTCGGACACATTGAAGAGAAGTGCCTGATATTGTCAGAATGCCTCTGGTATTGACAGAATGTCTTGCCGACAATTTATACAAATGTCAAACATCCTCCTCGTTCAACATAATAATGTAACACAGACATATTAACATACATGTACAGTAAACTACGTTTATAACGAACACGCTTATAACGAACTGACGGATATAACGAACTTACTTTATTGTCCCGACTATTTGTGGCAGTTATGCTGTGTATACGCTTATAACGAACTACGGTTATTACGAACTAAAATTAGTGGTCCCTTTGAGTTCGTTATAACCGTAGTTTACTGTATACCTATCACAAGGAGGTATTACCAATTTCCTAAATGTTTCCCGCGGTATTTAGCGATCCATTGGCAATGATCATTTATGTTATTCTTTGTACAGTGTACGAATTAATTATTCTGAAAAAAAGATATTTTGTAACCGGAGTGAATGCACATCCGTGGAGTCATGACGATGTCATGATCCCGATATTTCGATCAATATGTCTTATTGGCAATACGTCCCTGTTTCAACCATACAGAAATGAGGCTCTCCAGGGGGTGAGGTTCTACCAAGGTCCCGCCTACGTAACCAACTGTTTCTTTAACAAGTTCACACCCTATCAGACGGACAAACTGTTCAGACCAGCGGGAGCAATCAGCATGAAACGGATAACCCCCTACCCCGCATCTCCTACCACTGGTGTCTCGGGCATCTCCTTTGGATTTTGTGACAAGGTGGTTTCAATATTTCTCATCCGAATCAAAACAGTTAGCTTCCAAATCTTTGTCGATATTTTCACAATCAAATGAAAGAAATCGATTTGCCCAGTAGCTAAATGTTATTTTACATCCGTCGAATATTCTCTCAATTCCACTGCTGAGCAACGAGGCAACTTCGGGACAGGATGGAACACAGTCATACCTCATAATTCGGCTTAAAACGGGGGTTAAAGCGTTTGCTCGTCACGTCGAAGACACGGGTTCGATTGCCGACATGGGTACAATGTGTGAAGCCCATTTCTGGTGTCCCCCGCCGTGATATTGGTGGAATATTGCTAAAAGCGGCGTAAAACCAAACTCACTCACACTCACTATAACAAGGGGTTGGTTTGGTTGGTTTGTTGTTTAACGCCGCACTCAGCAATATTCCAGCTATATGACGGCGGTCTGTAAATAATCGAGTCTGGACCAGACAGTCCAGGGATTAATATCATGAGCATCGATCCACGCAATTGGGATACGATGACATGCATCAACCAAAGTCAGCGAGCCTGACCACCCGATCCCGTTAGTTGCCCGTTACGACATCCATAGTCGCCTTTTACGGCAAGCATGGGTTGCTGAAGACCTATTCTACCCCGGATCTTATAACAAGGGGAAGCAGGGACAAACCCCTGAAAAATCTGTTGCCTTTCGCGATATCTTTCTCGAACTTTTGTATATATAGCTTGTTCCAAAAAGTCCAAGTCACGAGGACGCGAGAATCCCCCTTTCAGTATTCCATATACTACGTACGTATGGTTTTAAGTGCGCCACGATATGTGTATGTATGTTAATATGTATATCTTGTACTTGTACGGTGATGATCGACGCGCCTTATAAATACTTATAACCATCTGCCTTTTCCTTTCTCAGTAGACAATGTGAATGTAACGCCTCCAAAATACGGGCATTACTTCCCTTTAATGCAATTCATCCAATCAAAATACTCTCGTGTTCTTCACGTGTCATGTTTTAATAGCTTGGCGTCCCCAGATGTACTGCCAGAGTCATTCCTACACTTTATTAATAATGATCCATTATGTTCAATATGCATTTTACCTGTATATATGTTTGTGTTTATGCTTTTCGTCGTTGTTTCGAGGTTGGCGGCAACTGGGTCTACAATGGCAACCTGTCCGTGACTGGGTTCGGCAACCGAGACGGCAACCGACAAGCCAGTTTCCATGACTACGACGGCAGCGTGACCGGAACAGCTGGGTCACAGGTCATCATGAATGACAGGTTCTTAACGACGTCCAGGTGCCGGTACGAGGACGACTGGAACATGGCAGTCTGCCCCTACGAATATGCCCGGGTACGTGTGGGGTAGATACTGTCAGCGTCTGCCCCCCCCCCCCCCCCCCCCGAGGTATTACTGGAATATTGACGAGAAACACATACAACCAACTCACTCGCTCATTCACAGGGCGATCGGGTAGCCTAGTGGTTAAAACGTCAGTTCGTCACGCCGAAGACCCGGGTTCGATTCCCGACATGGGTTCAATGTATGAAGCCCATTTTTGGTGACCCCCGCCGTGATAGTGCTGGAATATTGCTAAACGCGGCGTAAAACAAAACTCACTCACGCACTCACAACTTGGGCATTGTAAAGTGACCGGGTGTAAAGTGGCCACATGTTTCCGTTGTGGTTCTTGCAGCCCTCTTGACCACTCATTGTGTTGTCGTTGCCGAAGGGCGTTCCAACCACAAACGCCAGCGTCCCTGTTTCACTGGATGAGGAAAGTAAAGAACGAATGTGGTACAAGATAAGATGTTTGCAATACCAGCAAGTCCGATTTAAGTAATTTGCTATTTTACGTTCACGAAAATTTTACGATGTACATCAATCCAACAAATTAGAACCTCAACAAAACTCTGAATTTTTTTCCAATTAGACACCAGTTACGTCTATGCATTCACGTATATATTAGTGTTGGGAAAAAAATTGATAAACGCCTTCTTGTTTGAAATAATTGTCACATTGTGTCAAAACAAATTACAAAAATGGGCCAATCTCATAAAGAAATTGCATGGTGTGACAAACCTTCCACATGAGGTCGCGACAGACCAACCCTGAACTTGACCGCTAAATTCAAAGAAGAACGTGTCGGTTAATCCGATGCAAGGTATGAGCCTTGAAGGGTTCGGCTTCATTCCGTTACCTCCTCAGTGTGAAAATGTCGATCTTAGAAAATGTATTACCTGCGCAGAATTCGACCAACAGAGTCTTTATAAGCTCTTCATGTCATCGTAATGGAGTAAAATATGTGATTTTTATGGAGCTTGAACATGTGGAAACATCGTCATTTCTGTCTCATGACATTTGCCAGAAAGTGCTGAGTTGACCCCTCCATTTATCAGTGTTTTATTAACTAATATGCAGATCCTGGTATAATATTAGCTCAGTCGAACGTGGTTGTCCGGGGCTCGCTATTCTTGAACTTTGACCATCGTACCTGTTTAATGCCCCCATTTTCACTACGACCACGAATATCCCGAATCACCCCGAATAGGAAATATTTCATGTTCGTAGATAAATCTCAGTCATTCCTTGAAGATTTTAAATGAATCTTATTTGATTCCCAAACATTCGTACAGTTTTCGGGAGTTCGTCGAATCGGCGAGAAAGTTTTTGTTTGTCAAAAACATTCGTGGAAGGGTCCCCGAATTGCAATTTCGTGGCTGTATCGTAATCCATTCGTAATTAATTCGTATGTTCCGTAACAGCTTCGTAATCGATTCATTTGCATTCTTCGCTATTCTAAGCGATTCGTGGCTCCCAAAATTTCTTGTCCTCAACCCGAAAACATCCCGAAACAGCCACGAATGTCCAGAATCAACTACGAATTATGTGAGAATTAAGTAAGAACAACACGAATCCCCAAGGACCAGGACCAGAGCAACACGTGCTCTCCGTTGAACCTCCATGGTGGCCAGCCTTTCGGGCCCAAGAACATGCCGAATTGTCAGGAAAAGTACCGATTTTCGCAAACTATTCGTAAATATGTCGTATGTTATTCGTTGCGATCGTCCTGCATTCGTACATGCATTCGGTATATTCGTCACTTAGTCGTAGGGGATTCTTACAATTCGTGCATGATCCGTACATGAATCTTGTAATTCGTACATGTTTCTTAATCCATTCCTGGCATTCTTCATGTTTTTCAACCCGATTTGCCACGAGTTTTCGTAACCCCGTTGTACTTTTGTCGTAACTGCTTCGTACCTCCTGCCGATTCTCCACGAAAGTTTGCATTATTGGGCGAATCATCACGGATTTCGAAAGCTTCCGATTCGGGGTGATTCGGGATATTCGTGGTCCTAGTAAAGGGGGGGGGGGGGGGGGGGGGGCATAAGCATGAAACATTTTACTCCGTTATGTATCATTATATCTAAGAGTGAAATGTGTGGGGTGTACGGTTATGAACAATACTGAATTGTGTTTGTTCTTCTCCAGGCTATATTCAAAGGAAAAGGAGGGGTTCTGGAAAAACGATCGAAAGACTACGCAATGTACATGAGGCGGGACGACAGACCTGATGAGGACTTTCGGTTGATTGGTAAAATATCGTACCAACTCTTCGACAGTAAAATAATTACATACTAGCCACGAGGAATAAAGGATTAACCGTCCCTCGTGAATTAATGTTTAGAGCTCTAAGTTCCTAGGTAGGTCAACTGTAAAATTCCGAGATACAACTTAGAGTAACATGGCCAAGCCGCTTAGGCCTCCTCTGTACCACATCCTTTTGAGAACTACCTGTATTCATAAAGCTGTACTGTTTTTCGAGTGCATATGTATCCTGTGTATATGACTGAATAAAAAATTATAAAAACAACAACAACAAAAAAAACAAAAAAAACATGGCCAAGCCGTATCTGGCGCCACAATGTCTTGTCCTCTAGACGTGCCTGGGACCAATGGTCGTGGGTTCGGCACTGATATTATTCCTGGCCAATCGCTTGTCGTCACCAATACATACTGGTTGCTTTCAACAAATTGGTACACGTCTATAACGCATAACTTCCGGCACACATCAGTTGATCATGACGGCCTGTTATGTAACAGCTGGAGCGTCAAACCCAGCTCACTCTCATTCATAAAAATGTAGTTTGAGTCTTATATTAACAATAAAATATGATATGAATTAAGATGATGATGATTATAACCCAGTCAATGTGGTAGCATTTTCATATGAAGAGATTCTCGGCACGCGATACACAGTCTAAATCTAAAATTATTTGTTAGGGATTCTTTGACGAAGAACTTGAAATCATACGCGCATTTTAATTGCTTTGTCGTATTTTAGCACATAACATTCGTAATCTGGTAATTACTATTATTGTTTGATATATATCGCCGTATATCTGACTTCGAGTTTAAAATTCTCGAATGCAAGGTATCATTTTGGTGACTGATTGTCTTTCATTTTTAGTAGCAGGGGCGGTCGGGTAGCCTTGTGATTAAAGCGTTCGCTCGTCACGCCGAAGACCCGGGTTCGATTCCCGACATGGGTACAATGTGTGAAGCCCATTTCTGGTGTCCCCCTCCGTGATATTGCTGGAATATTGCTAAAAGCGGCGTAAAACCATACTCACTCACTCACTGAGACGACGCGATGTGGCATCTGTACCATGCAACATTATGAATTATTATCGTGACCTTTGTATCGCGATACGTATGGTATATCGTGACCTTGCTTATCGTTTCGCCTCTAGCCTAGGGTAACTCTCCCGATCATACTGGTGCCAGATTACATGACGGCAGGCAGGCCGCTGCTGTGTGACACTGTTGGCAGACAGGCATTATCTTGCTATGTATTGGGTACATACGGAATCATGTTCCAGGTGAAAGGGGCATGGACTATCTTCTGATCAAGAACATGTCCTACACCGCTTACTTCAACGGGTCAACTCCTACAGAACTCGAGGTCACCGGGCAGAATTTGAAAAAGTAAGTATTTTTTTCAGTTCAGCCAAAAATAGGGAATATAATGTAGAACAAATGATGAAGCGAAGATAGTGTCCAACTCTTTATTGACCGAGTCCTTCGTAACAGTAAATAGGTTCTGAAAAATGAAATAAATATACTCCTTAGTGATAATAAAGCAAATAAATCAATTACAGTTCTTGAAATGTATTCAAACATTCATAATTATCACCAAAGAATTACCACAATAAAGTTTACATTACAATTTGAAACAAGGATTTCTCCCTAAATTTAACTCGCTCGAAAATTAACATTTACGGTAAATAAACATATTCTTGGACTGACATTTACGCAACAAAGAATAGTAATACCATTTAGGCGATATAACAATACTTGAAAACATTAGAAATACTTTCAACATATATTTTGAGCACTCAAAGATGATCGAAAATTGAACAACATGCTCTTTGAAAAATGCAAAATGAATTATCGATAAAGTTAACATATTTTTAAAAAAACTTGCGCTTATGACATGATAATATATTAAACAAAAAACTGCTAACTCTGCAATGCACAAAAATTCTCACACATTTGACCATCGCGGGTCACTCAAACTTGCGCTTCGAGTCATTATGAACTCGTTTTCCCGCACACTTCCGTCAGTCGTACCTTCATGTTTGTTTATTTCTAGGGGCGATTTCATTCGTATCGGGTTGTGTTTCCCGATTGATACAGAAAGTTTTACCTTCAAAAGTAAGTTTCCTGAGATAACTGCCAGTTTACCGGCAACCCGACTGAACTCCATTTCCGAGCTTGACAAGGACAATTCTGGAACAGCCTACTTCTGGGACAAGCCAAGAGGGTAAGAACGTTACAATATATTAGACATGCCCACAACCATTCTCAGTTGTTTTCCAACATTCCGAAATCGTTGAGGCAAGGACAGGTAACTCTTCCGTAAATAACCGGATTGTTTTGACTTTTTTAATACAAAAGCAAAAAATATTGGTCGCCTTAATAGAACTTCTGACGCAGTATTGTTTTAAATGAAGCGCACTGTGATTTGGTAATTTTATTTAATATTTTATTTCCTGACTGATATTGAAACCTTATTTGTCCTTGAACATAATCCGTTACTTATAGCTTTCAGCAGAGATATGTTATGAATGTGGAATGGGTTTGTCGCTTTGTTTGTTATAGACCAGACAAGAAATGTCCCACATCCATTCGTCCTGGGTAGGGACCAGAGTTAGAAAAGGTCTTCAGCTCTCTATAGTTTTCCAGAGAAGTGACTAAATTTGATGGGGTTGACAGGCTCGGTGGTGACTTGGTTGAATGCATGTGATCGTACCCTGACGGCATGTGACGTTGCTCATGATGTCAACCACTGGTTTGTCAGGTCCATATTCGATTGTTTACAGGCCGCAGTGTTATAGCTTGTGAACTGCTGAATGTGACGTAAACAACAAACACATTTCCCATGGCCATCCGCATGCTTGCCGAAAAAGGCGACTATGCTTGTCGCAAAAGGCAACCTTGCTTGTCGTAAAAGGCAACTATGCTTCCCGTAAAAGGCGACTATGTTTGCCGTAAAAGGCGACTATGCTTGTCGTAAAAGGCAACTATGCTTGCCGTAAAAGGCGACTATGCTTGTCGTAAAAGGCGACTATGCTTGTCGTAAAAGGCAACTATGCTTGCCGTAAAAGGCGACTATGCTTGCCGTAAAATGCGACTATGCTTGTCGTAAAAGGCGACTATGCTTGTCGTAAAAGGCGACTATGCTTGTCGTAAGAGACGACTAACGGGATCGGGTGGTCAGGCTCGCTGACTTGGTTGATGCATGTCATCGTATTCCAATTGCGCCACTTATAATGCCTGGTAAAAACAGTATACACTTGAAAATTGGTTTTGACCCAAAACATACAAACGCTATCAAATTTTACTAGTCGCCGAAACACTGACAACTTAAGGTCCAAAAGACAACTGTGATACCCGTATCAAATACATCACCATCGTATAACCATTTCTTGCTTGTTTCATGTTCAGCCACCATGGTGTATACTTTCTATACCGTTTAGTTAACCAATGTCCTTAACTCTGTCACCAGTCTACTGTTCCTGAAGATAGTTGGATCTGCCAACCGTATCAACCACGAGATCTGCCCCGGAAAGAACTGCCCCGCCATCACTATCACACGTGTGGGTGGAAGCAAGGCAACGGTAGACTGTTACAACGACGCCTACGTTGATGGACCATACACAAAGGAAGAGGATGTACGTATTCACTTAGAAAAAAGTTAAGCACATCTTGCTATATTTTTCTAAAATCGTATACTGTATTAATTTTCTGACGGGAATTGTTTTCAGTTTTGTTCATTGTATTGAGATACAGAAACCGAACTCTATTATTTTATAACATGTTATGTGGTTGTTCCATGACATTAGTTATTTCAATCGCTGCCTCTGCTTCTTTGCGGCATATGCCGGTCACTGCATAACATACAGTGAGTGAGTGAGTTTGTTGTTTAACGCCGCACTCAGCAATATTCCAGCTATATGACGGCGGTCTGTAAATAATCGAGTCTGGACCAGACAATCCAGTGATTGACATCATGAGCATCGATCCACGAAATTGAGATCGATGACATGCATCAATAAAGTCAGCGAGTCTGACCACCCGATCCCGTTAGTCGCCTCTTATGACAAGCATAGTCGCCTTTTGATGCATGTCATCGATCCCAATTGCGTGGACCGATGCTCATGATATTAATCACTGGATTGTCTGGTCCAGACTCGATTAGTTACAGACCGCCGTCATATAGCTGGAATAATGCTGAGTGCGGCGTTAAACAACAAACTCACTCACTCACTGTATGTTATGCAGTGACGCATATGCCGCAAAGAAGCAGAGCCTGACCACCCGATCCCGTTAGTCGCCTCTGAGTCTCACGTCAAGCATAGTCGCCTTTTACGGCAAGCATGGGTTGCTGAAGACCTATTCTACCCCGGATCTTCACGGGTCGTATGATATACAGTGACCTTATAGCAGGTTTAATAGGTTGTAGCTTGAACATTTTACAGCATGAAGTCATTGTCATGTGTAAAGTTTTCCATGTAAGGACGTTTGGGATATAATTAAATAAAGGAGTGGTTCTTAACCTTTTCCCAGGTGTGTACGTTGTCGCAGTAGTCTACGCGGAATTCTCAATATCTAATAAATCGCAGTTGTTAATCTTAAATTCACAGGCAAACAAAAATCTTAATTTCGAATATTTATAATATGAGAATTGAATTTGAACGTTTTTCTGCAGTACATGTCATTGATATAAAGCAAAAAATGAGTCGTTGATTAAAGACTGTTTGTTTCAGACATCAACGCCCATACCTGCCAAGGCTACCTGCAAAATTGGAACACCCAAGGTAAGATTCACTCTTGAGTTCACTTTGGTTCTCTGTTAACAAAATGGTTGGCGATAATCTACCATCAGACAGTTCATGAAATATGCGCTGTGAGATGAATGATCCGATTTAGTAAGAATGATTAATTTATTTTGCTTTATGTTGTATCAACCTTTTATTGAATTACATATGTCACTAGCGGGATGTAATGGACTGCTCGGGTTAAAATGGCTTGTATACCATGAGATCGAGTGGTTTACATGGAAGTTCAGGTCGTAAAATTCCGTAAACCCGCTGTTGTCACATGTAACGAATATCCGTTACGAATTCACATGTAACAAAGTCATGTCAGATCGAGTTTGTGATCGCGAACGAACTCTCAGTATGTTCAGCTGTGACATGGTCAGCAAGTGACGTCACTTCAAACACAAGACGTCATGATAACCATACTTATTACCTAAAGGGGCTCTCACAGTATGGACCCGAGCTGACTCGGGGATACTCGTATGGAGCTCGTAGCGAGGTCGTACTAAACTCGGGGTAACTCGGGATACCTCGTACTGATCTACGAGAGTTTTGGAACTGCTCAAAACACTCGGGCCGCCAGCCAACTCCTAACAAACTTGTAACACACTCGTCCTACTCGTAGTACCCTCTTGGCGACCTCGTGGTGCTCGTACAGAACTCGTGTTAAATCATGTGACAATTTCCAGCCGAATTATTTAGCAGCTCGTAGCCACCTCGTACCAAAGTCGTACCAAACTCGTACAGATCGTATCGAGATCGTTGTGCTCGTATGCAACTTTAAATAGACTCCTATTAGACGCCTATGGGACTCCTATGGGGCTCTCAACACACTCGTATAATACTCGTATATATGTAGTCTCTTCCCGAGTCTTAACCGAGTTGGGCTCGGGAGAGCTCGGCAACCACCTCGGCAAAGTGTGAGAGCTGCCTAATGGCTTTTTGCAAGGCGGCGGCTTGCCAATCATAAATGCAGATATAGCGTTACCTCAATAAATATTATGGTATGTATAAACTGTTCAAATGAAATGATCAGCCCACGTTTCACATATCCCAGGGTTTAGGAATGCCAATTGCGCCGAACAACTACCCAACAGAGACCTTTAAGCCCAGGTGTCCAGCTGAGCCGGAATACCCAGGTACGGCACACTTTAGTCTCATCTATTAACATTCGCTGCCTATAAATTCTCTGGCGTTGACGTTTTGAATCTACTTTTTGCTTGTTTATTGTTACATTGACAACTGTAACAGCTGTATCAGACCTGTGAAGATCCGGGGTAGAATAGGTCTTCACCAACCCATGCTTGTCGTAAGAGGCGACTAACGGATCGGGTGGTCAGGTTCGCTGACTTGGTAGATGCATGTCATTGATCCCAATTGCGTGGATCGATGTTCATGATGTCAATCACTGGATTGTCTGGTCCAGACTCGATTATTTACAGACCGCCGTCAAATAGCTGGAATATTGCTGATTGCGGCGTTAAACAACAAACAAACTAAACGAGGTTTTATTTTTAGGAGCCTGCTTTTATGTTGTTTTCAGATCCAATTTCAAAGGGCTGTTATAAGGATGTGTCTGACCATCATGATCTTCCCCATGCTAGGACAACTCTCTTCACATCTATGACGGTGGAGTTTTGTTCTCAAAGGTAACAGAAGGATAGGGAATCCATTGCGCACATAATAAAGACATACATGTTAAATCACTAATAGCTTTAATACTATTTCTGAGATCAAAATGTACTACTGAACAGCAGAACACAAGGTGGCTTCTCTTTGGACACAGCAATGTAGTTCTACATGCATCTGATCTTTACAAACAACACTGACTTACACAGAGTTACCACTTCACCATGCCGCTTCTGAAAAATAATAAAAATAATTCAAAAATAACACTTTCAAAAGTAGCAATTTTAATCTGGGTGTCATAGGACTTTCCAGGCGCTGCAAAGGCTATTGTTAGCTACTCGCATTACTTTCATGGAGTAGACCCGTGAAGATTCCGGGGTAGAGTGGGTCTTCAGCAACCCATACTTGCCGTAAAAGGCGACTATGCTTGTCGTAAAAAGGCGACTGACGGGATCGAGTGGTCAGGCTCGCTGACTTGGTTGATGCATGTCATTGATCCCAATTGCGTGGATCGATGCTCATGATATTAATCACTGGATTGTCTGGTCTAGACACGATTATTTACAGACCGCCGTCATATAGCGGGAATATTGCAGAGTGTGGCGTTAAACAAACAAACCAACCAACTTTATGGAGCCAAATGTTCCAGATTTACAGTTGATATGTTTATTTATATGTATACATATGTTGCTCTATAAGTACATCCCTACGCTGGTCCATAGGTGTTACCAGAGGAACTATGCCTATGCGGCCCTTCAGAACGGCAACCGGTGTTACTGTGGAAATACCTTTGGGGCGTATGGAGAAACTCCCGGCGACTGTGACAAGGACTGCACGGGAAATAGCGCTCAAACGTGTGGCGGCATGGATAGGAATTCTGTATATGCAACAGGAATAGGTACAGTTTTTAATGCAGTAATTTTCATTCCGTGTTAGTGTAAGAAAAGCTATACATGTACAGCTGTCCGAATCACGATCCGAAAATTGTCATGGGTGTATGTTTCATGTTCCGATGACTTGTATGCTTTGGACGTTTGGGTTTGACACTGCTGTCAGACAAGCTATGTCATCGTAAAATGTCGAAAGCGAAACATGATCTTGAAATCTAAACAAAATATTTTTTTACGAGCGTTGTAAATGGGATATATAAAATCCGTATGATTCTATCGTTCAGAACCAACCAGCGCTGGCCAGACAGCATGTGGACCTGACAATGCTGGTGTGGTGATCAACAACATGTGTTACTACTTGTCACCTGAGAAGGGCACCTACAGTGATGGCCAACGGACATGCGTTAAACTTGGAGGGAACCTAGCAACCATCAATACAGAAGACATTCAGGTGGGATGGTGATGCAATTAGCTTTAAATTTTGGAAAGAGCTGATTTTGTACAGAATTATTTGGTCTGGTTCATTCATTTTCAGATAGTTCCCTTCTCAGGAACCATCAGTCCAATGGCCTGTATCTCTGTGATATCACCAATACTTTACTGAAATATCCCAATGTCCCATCTGAATCCTTTTTTTAATGTAGCTCAATCATTATGCATTTAGATTCTTGTTTTGAGCATTGATTTTAACCTGTATAATTACCGACGTCACATACAAGACTTTCATTGTGTACAAGTATGAGTGAGTGAGTGAGTTGGGTTTAACGCCGCTTTAAACAATATTCGAGTTATATCGCGGCGTGTCAGCTTAATGTGGTAGGAAAGCCCGAAGTGATGCAGGTCTTAGACGTTTACTACTTCGGTGAAAGCCACGAGCACGGGTATGATGCTGATGAACCTAGAAACACAATCGGGGCGGACCGGGATTCGAACCAACATTCATAGGTTTCTGGCGTGCCCAAGGGACGCAACTCTGCACAGCGAATCGCGGCACCTTAGACGACAGGCCCACCCGTGGCCCCTGTACAAGTATGAGCATAGATGTAACATTATGTTTAGGTTGACAAAAATAAAATAACAATAGATAGTCGATTGAAGGTCACAAGGTCAGTCCGAAAGTGACAAAGGATTGTCTTCGACTCACTGTCAGATGATATATCATGATAAAAACGGACCTCGCCAAGGCCACCAATAAGAGCCTTTATCCTTCCTCCTGCAATTCTTCGTTTCCGATATCTCAAACGTTTTCACAATTTTACCAGAATGAAGTGGTACAATACATGCGACCTAAAAGGGTAGATGCTTGGTTTGGCCTGAATGATATCGCAGAAGAAGGCACGCTGGCGTATGTGGACGGAACTTCTTTCGGCAACTACGACAACACAATGGATGGTCAAGGAGGCAACGAGAACCAGGACGGATACGGTATGTGAGCACACAAAACCCATCTGGGCCCCGTTCCACAAAGCGATATTAGCGCTACGATTGTCGTAAGTCAGTGTTAAAGAATGGGAGTTTCGATCAACTTAGCGCTAAGATCACTTTGTAGAACGGGGCCCTGGTCACTTTACAATGTCCCTGGGGAGATTCCGGGCACCACTTGTCCCAGCAGCGAGTGAGTAACCCTGCCTTTAGCGATATTCCAGCAATATCTCAGCAGGAGATACCAGAAATGGGCTTCGCACCTATTTGGGGAATCGAACCCGGGCATTCGGCGTGACGAGCTAGCCTGTCGCCTGTTCCCTATGCTTGCCGTAAGTTCTCAATACTTACGATCGTGTGATCTCAGACGCGACTGTGTTGAGCGTTGTTCATTCTGTCAATGGTTACATGGTTGCATGAATTTCACTTGTCATACTGATGTCCAATCACTCACTCTCCAGGATCAGGATCGAGTTTTCGCCACATCCGTGTTTGAACAGTCAGAAATAGTATTTAAAAGTATTCCATGATTCACATGATTTATAACTGCGCTTTATCAGAACTTATCTCATTGTATTGTTTACGGAAAACATACTGGTTGTTGTGATGGTACCCTTGGTCCAAGACTGTACTGAAAGATAAGTCCATGGATGTGTAGTAATTCTATCATCCAAATAGGCAAGTCTAGTTAATGCGGACAGGACTCCAGTCTCTTATAGGGACATCTTGTTCTTATTTACATAGGGGCGGCCGGGTAGCTTAGTGGTTAAAGCTTTGGCTCGTCACGCCGAAGACCCGGGTTCGATTCCCGACATGGGCACAGTGTGTGAAGCCCACTTCTGATGTTCTTCGCCGTGATATTGCTGGAATATTGCTAAAAGCGGCGTAAAACCATACTCACTCACTATTATTGACATAATCTGGAAATTATCATTAAACTAATGATTATTGCCTTAGAGACTTGTGCAAGTCTATTATTATGGTTTTAATGTTGCCTTGATATCAATCTGTAATATAAATGGTTATCATGAAGGACGTTCCTACTTATAAGCAGTTGTCCTCTGCGATGTGAGGTAACAAATATACTCGAGATAAAACAATTTAATTCCCTATGAAGGATGAGAGTCATATACTTAATATACACTCAACACATGTAAATGTAGGATTACGTGATCCGAGGACAATATCAATGACAGGTATTAATGAAGGCATTTGCATGACACTATGGAAGGTTAATCACTTTCATACACAAATATAAATTTTCAATGCAAGAGAATAACCATCCTAGACTTTCTGCCGAAACAGATTCCGTTTGGCGTAAAAGGGCAAAATAGCTGTGGAAATGATATAAATGGATCACTGAAAATCGGTGATGACACCAGGTGTTCGCGAAAAGGGTGCGCATGTCCTGCTCTACCGGTAGCACCCGTCATTCACACAATTTGCATAAAAAAGTAAGTGTTGTTGCGTGACGCCGCACAGCAGGACTCCTTCCATGCGACGTCAGGGGGCACGGGTGGCCCAGTCGTCTAAGGCGCCGCGATTCGCTGTGCAGAGTTGCGTCCCTTGGACACGCCAGAAACCTATGATTGTGGGTTCGAATCCTGGTTCGCCCCGATTATGTTTCTAGGTTTGTCAGCACCATACCCGTGCTCGTGGATTTCACCGAAGTGATAAACGTCGCAGACCTGCATCACTTCGGGCTTTCCTCCCACATTAAGCTGACACGCAGCGTTATAACTGGAATAATGTTAAAAGCGGCGTTAAACCCAACTCACTCACTCACTCACCCATGCGACGTCAGCCTGTAAACAAAACAAAATTGCACGCAGCTGTGATGCCTTGTTCCGCTCTGTTTCAGTTATACAGCAAAGTGTGCTTTACAAATGGAACGATCGTTCCGTCAATGAGAAACAGAAGGCATTGTGTGAGATTCCCCTTGGAACCAAGCCACCATCAGGAGGTAATGCTTTGTCTCCAGTGTCATTTTTCGTATCTTTTATATTTCAACGCTCATTCTTATTGTCCTACTTATTGCCAACTGTATGTGCACTTTTTACAATTGTCATTCTTCTTATTCAACACAATTTAACCAGGAGATATTCTTAATACAACATTAATAAACCTTACGTGGTTTAGATTCTACCATCTTCTCGAGGCAAGGGAGTTCCCTGGCTGTAAAGGTCCAGTGTCAACCCTTGAGGAAATTGGATGGAATTTCTTGGCTCGATTGTAGCGCCACCAGTGGCTACTATGAGTTATGTCCCTTCTATGTTCTTCCTATTGACCAATCAGATCATCTCATATCATTTGTATTTGCTTCAAGTAAAATGACATCCCCAAGTGAAGAGGGCCTGATCGATAATCAAGATCTAATCTGATCGATAATAAAGATATTGTAATAAAACGGCTCTTGATTCGCGAAGTGCGTCAAATCACGTGAGCACACTGAAACATGAAAAGATTTGGAAAAAAGCTATTGACACTAAGTTGTAGGTACACATGCTTTGCAAATCCTGCAACCGGATGTCGATTTTGTTTCTCGATTTTGATTGGACTAAGTATAGACTCGTTAGTCCAGCCAAAATATAACTCCATAGTTCCAGCCTAGTTCGGCAAGGGTGGAAACAGGAGGTTTATAGTCAGTTAACTCCCTTGCCTCGGGAAGATGAGATTCTACTAATATATCTAATATCCATCAGGGTGATATGTGTGCATGCCATACAGATCCCCCAAACAGAAGACGTTTAGCAAAGCAACGCTAGTGGCGGAAAGGAGATGGATGGTCATCATCATCATCATCATCACCATCATCATTATTATTTACAGATTAAAATAAAAAAATCAAATCTTGGCCAATTCCAAAGAATCTTGTATTTATCATTTTTCATGACGCCCTCTACATATTCTGGGTCGTGCTATGGGTAGACCTCTGTGTCAAAACCACAAGCATGGTTTATGTGCAGTGTGTTGAGAAGATCAGCCATCCTGCAGAGTCCTTTGCGTAGATGAAGTCGTCTGGCCTGAAACGTGAAACTAAAGGCTTTCTGTTTGCTGCTCAGGACCAGTCACTTCCCACTCGAAACCGTCAATGTGTAATTTTTGCATCAAAATGTAAAAATGAAATGAAGATTAGGCAATGAATTAAATGAGACTGTCCAACACATTGTCAGTGGATGCCTAGCTTTGGCACAAACACAGTATCTTAAACGACATGATGGTGTAGCTCGATCATTTTATTACCGTCTTCGCCATGCATGTGGTTTTGACACAGAGGTCCACCCATGGTACGACCCGGAATATGTAGAGGGCGTCATGGAAAATGTTAAATACCAAATTCTTTGGAATAGGCCCATTTACAGCCATAGACGTATCCAGGCCAACAGACCTGATCTTGTCCTTTTTGATAAATCCAATGAAATCATTTATATCATTGAATCTTCTGTCCCCTTTGACACTAATGTGATTGACAAGATTGAGGAAAAACGTGGCAAATATGCGGACCTCGCTTTCGAAATGTCACGCTTGCATACCAAGTACCAAGTTGTCCGACTCCCCATTGTTCTCGGTGCCTTAGGATTGGTACCTCCCAATCTGTTGACTGACAATGGGAGAGTACCAGGGTTTGCTACCAGGAATACAGCCCTTCTGACATTCTGGGTAATACAGAAGGCTGCAGTGTTGGGGAGTCTTCACATTCTCCGAAAAGTTCTGTGTGGGTTTGACTAGGCAGCGCTTCCTGAGAGAAGTCCCATTCGCTGTCTGGGCTGCGTGTAGAGGGGGCAAGGGCCCTGGGCTGATGATGAGCCTAACCAGCCTGACTGTGCCAGGATCCCCCAAACCCTCTTTGCTGCATTTTTTATTTTAATCTGTAAATAATAATAATAATAATGATAATAATAATGTGTGATTTTGCATCAAAATGTAAATATGAAATGTAGAATATGTAATGAATTTAATGAGACTGTATTATTATTATTATTATTATTATTATTATTATTATTATTATTACACAGAGGAGTGTGGTGCTAACGGTCTTGGAAAACGATTTGGATCAGGGTCGTGCTACGCTGTGGTAAACACACTGGGCAGTCATTTTGAATCCCAGTACGCGTGTTACACAAGGATGGGAACTCTTGTCACGGTCACGGACGCCAACAGGGTAGGTCGAATTGCTAAATAGAACATCAAAAAGACACGACTGGATTTACATGAAGAATGTGTTTCACCTGTTTGTGAATGTACGTTTTCAATATTTCAGTGCTACTACACAAGAAGTGTTCATTACACACGAACATTTTAATTCACAAATTGATAGGCTGCTTGCATGTTGTGCTTGTGTATGATTTGAAGGGATGTGAATAGTATCAAACTTCACAAAAGGGTTGAAACGTCCATTCTTGCCAAATTGATGCGTTTTCGCATCCTCGTGTATTTAGAAGCCTGAATATGCGAGATTTTAGATTATGTGGCGTTCTAAAATTACAATCTTCTAATGTCCCGAGAATGTGTGAGCACGACATTTTGACTTTCATCGACTTTTCGATATTTCACGTTTTCAAAAGATTGCAACAGGAGCGACAGTATTCCATTTCATGTGCATACGATTTGTTTAGGCTGAAATTCTTCAACACATCTATATGTATGGAGACTCTGTGGATTACTGGACTGAGGAGAAGGCCCCTTTAAAGAAACGCTACGGCAAGTCCCTTGTTCATGAACATTGTAGAAAAATGCAAGCATTCGATGACAAATATAAATGTAAACCGTCACTGTTATTGGGTTTATTAGTTTTTGTTTTTAATTTACTTAAAATGAGTGCAATTGTGGTCAACATGTCATTGCATGGCTATGACGTCACAATGATATACGTCATCACAAAATGATATTACGTCACGTTGTAATTGTCAATGGGATAATTAACTCCTATATGGACCGATACAAAATGAATTCTGTTAATGTTAATGACATTCTAATTGTATTTACAATTCTAATTGACATTCTAATTGTATATATATATATATATATATATATATATATATATATATATATATATATATATATATATATATATATATGCGTTAAGTACAGTAAATCTATATTTATACTATATACTATATTTATGTCACAACCTTGGAAAGGTAATATTGAACAATTATATCAGTCACATATTGTTGAGGGAGGAGAAGTAGCCAGAGGCTGAAACATCGAGTGATTGATATCCTTTCAATCCCGTAAATATATCTTTTCAGAATTAGCTTTGAAAATGCTCTACGCCAAGGCGACTGCATCGCCTAACAAGAAGAACGGCGCCGTATGTTTAATGGGTATGTGCAGGAACTACTGAACTCTCTTAGATGCATTAAGGGGGATATAGGAATAGGTGCTGTCCTTCCGTCCATCCGTCATGTTTCGTTTTCGAAGCAAAACGAAAAATCATGAGAGATATCTTAATCAAACATGGCACATAGATACGCCTGGTGGAGAACTGGTGCCTTTTGGTAGTTTGGGATTTTTGAAAACTTTGTGATTCGAGTTTCCTTGGCAACGATGTCGACTTAGACCGGACATGTCATATTGGCTAGGGATATGAGTATTTCAGGCTTATTTTGCTCTTTTGTTCTAGAAGTCCCCTTTGGTTACTCGTATATTTTCACGTGTCAGATGAATGTCATTTGTATTCAAACATACATATTGGAGGTATTAAACGAACTCCAATAATATTGAATCCCTTGTTTTACAGAAACCGTTTCAACAAGCAAACCATGCTCAACAGGTGAGACTTTCGTGGCTTGTACAAATAAGGTCATATTAATTGATCGTCTATACATATATGTGCAGAAGATGGTTTAATCTAAATACAATGAAAATATTATTAATTTGACAGTTAATAATAAGTGAGCGACTGCTCTTTGTGTTTCGGGGGCGGTCGGGTAGCCTAGCGGTTAAAGCGTTCGCTCGTCACGCCGAAGACCCGGGTTCGATTCCCGACATGGGTACAATGTGTGAAGCCCATTTCTGGTGTCCCCCGCCGTGATATTGCTGGGATATTGCTAAAAGCGGCGTAAAACCATACTCACTCACTCACCAGTGTTTCGGCTTGAGCACGGCGTGAGCACGGGAATGGTGCTGACAAACATAGAAACATAGCCAGGTTGATTCCGGGATGCGAGTATAGAGCTCCAGATTAAGCCTAAGCACTTCTAATTTATTTCTGAGTGTTATTGTTCCAGGATGGAAGTATCTGGAAGCAACCAACAGCTGCTACCTCTATACCAAAGGTTTTGCCTCAAGCTTTGACAAAGCGTATGCATTGTGCAAACAGTAAGTTGCCATACACTTCATACTAAGTCGAATTAATGAATACAGGAACATTTTTAGACTTGCCTATCGCCATATAACTGTTTTGGCAGTATCAAAGTGGTTGTTAAACACAGAAACCATTCGTGGGTGGATTAGGGGTGCAAGGCGCCTCAGTTCGCTGTGCATGGTTAAGTCCCTTAGCGCTGAAAGGATTTGCTGATCGTGAGTTCAAATTACAGATTCGCCTCTGATTAAGATCATGTGATCTCCGCACCCCTGAAACAGGCCTTTTGGAGGATATTACTTTTTATTTTATCCTTCAGTGTGATAGACTGAGCTTTCTGAAGTTGAGACAAGTGATGTTTTCCATGCACTGAACATAACACTTGATAGGTCACTGCAGTGAACATAGCACTTTGACGGAACTATTGTTATAAAAGAACTACCTCCCCGCAAATTGTCCTTTGTTATCGTCAGTGTCTGGCCCGTACACAAACTATGTTAGTTCCACATTGCCAAGGCAGAATAATGACAATGATCATTTATGGAGTCAATTTCACTTCTTGCCGTTTGTTATTCTCTTGAAAATGTTTCGTTAAACTGTAAATTTCTCGTTTAACTCGTCAATCGAGACTGCCTGTTTTGCAAAGTGCCATTTTTGTTACTTGACCAGCGTGTATTCTTTCGCTTCCAACAGCGGTCTCGTAGGTGGCTACGCCACTCCTGAAAATATCTTCTTTTCCACGTCTCTCGAGGAGAGAAACATTATATTTCACTCGACACATGAAATATCCTCTATGTACTGTAGGTATCCACAATGTTGTATCGAGGACTAGAAATTTGTTGTTGTGTTTCAGAGGCGCCAGTGCCATGTTGACTGTCCATAGTCAAGCTGAAAACGAGTTTGCGTCCAAAATCGTGAATGACCTGGGAAGGAAAAACATCTTTCTTGGTAATACAGTCATTATTGATTAGCCGTAAAATATGCGACAGTTCCGATTACCCTATTGCACCATTTTGTGTTTTACATTTGGATCGCATACTTGATAAATGTGTTTTTTTAGGTTTAAGTTCATATGTTAATTTGGCCAAATCCATGGTTGTGATATCAAAGAATGTGTAAATAAATATATTTGTGCCGAACCTTCACAGTGATAGAGAAAATAGGTAGGAAACCACACCCCAATTCATTAGGGGCAGTGGGGTAGCCTAGTGGTTAAAGCGTTCGCTCGTCACGCTGAAGGCCCGGGTTCGATTCCCCACATGGGTACAATGTGTGAAGCCCATCTCCGGTGTCCCAAGCCGTGATATGGCTGAAATATTGCCTAAAGCGTCGTGAAACCATACTCACTCACTCATGCAGTACATCATATTGACTGTATCTACTGCTTCAAATGTTTTTAAGTTCTGTCACTTTAAAATTTTACATTGACGATATTCAAGAACACCTCACGTCAGAATGTTTTGCTTAGGTACTAGTATATTATCTTGTTTTATACAAGGAAATATGCCTTTTCCCCATCACACATTGTCTTTCATACAGTTTTCTTTAAATACGGTAAGTTCTTAGTTCGCTTCATGTATAGTAAAGAGAAATGCTATTCCATACGTTAAACTGAACGTTCCATACGCAAAACTATTTTTCAAGACGTCATAGCCATTACATGAACATAATTGGTTACTTCGGGTAAGAGTTTTATAACTACCTATTTCAGGTACCAAATATAGCTCCGACTCCAAATTGTTTGAGTGGGTGGATGGATCAGAGGGCGATTATGACAATTGGAAAGCGCCGGAAGGACCTGGCAATACGGTCAAAGGGAAGTGCGCGCGGTTGCGCTCCTCTGACGGGAAATGGTTCAACAGAGACTGTGCCAAGTCAGGGAACGTCATCTGTAAGGCTCCCGCGGGAGCGTAAATGTTGCAGTTGGAAGTAAATAAAGGTTTAAATCATATGTCAATATACCTGTAATGTGTAATGATAATAAGTCATGATAAAAATTCAAGTCAATTGCTTGCCACTCGTTTTTTGTTCGTGTCTCCTGCACCTCAAGTGTCTTCCATGGTGAGTCATGTTATCAAGCTTTTCAAAGATGGACACTGCCGATTTAAGCCTTGATTCGGCACGATTCCCTCAAAACAAATTCTTGATTGGATCCCAGTCAACATAGCAGACAGACGGTGGCCCATTCCTCGTTGGCTGCAATTCGCCGACACAAAACCTAGCATTCAGTGGTATTCGGTCGATGTCAAATGAAAACAAATTGTGTTTGTTGTGAGGGCTCTTGACAAAATTAACACCAGCAGAGCAGTTGGTTATCTTATTGTATATCTCATCTTTACGCATGCGTACCAATAACCGGATATGGTTACAGATTTGAACCATAGGTGTTTGGCTCCCGCATGTTTGCTAAATGCAGCAAACGCAGCTGTAATTCCACACAGGCGCATGCTCAAAGCAACAACAACAACAACAACCTTTATTTTCTCTAGGTGACAACCAGCGATTGTACATGAGCAATGCAATTCATTAATATTAGATATATATCACATGACATAGCAAGATGACGAGTGCATAAACACAATGATGGAGTTAATTCTTTTTGGATAAACTTTAACGTTGTGGATAATATTTTTTCGGAAAAACAATAAACTCTACAGATGATCCAAATAGTGTTACATGTTTTTAGACCCGTAGGTCTTCATTTTACTTTTTTTTTTAAATAATAAGGACCAGTGTATTATTGGGGTTTTGTGCGGACAAGTATAATCTAGCAATTACTAAAGGAAATCAACAACACAATGGATCTATCTTCCACTAAAATGACTATTCAGGAATACTATGAACTTCGATAGTTTCTTCAGAACAGACATGCGTTTGGTGGTCATTAGTTTAGCAAACTTAAAGATATTTGGCCAATCGTTATAATATTTATCAATCAAGACGGCTCGTTTATTGGACAGCGATTGACAATGGAACAGGTAGTGGAAGTCGTCCCCATGTGCATTTGTATCACAGAGTTTGCATCAGCGATCTTCATGAGGTACACCTGCCCATATCATCTACCCGTCTCTATTGGCAATTTATGGTGACATGTACGGACGGATAGTAAAGGTTGTGAAATATTTCGAGGCAGTAATTTTCAAATGATGGGTAGTCTTTAAGATACTTGTTGCATTCCCTTTTGAAGAGTTGACGACACCACTTCTCCATGACTCGATAAACTGAAGGCGGAGGGTATTCTCAAGTTGAAATAAAATATACGCTTTGTTAAAATCATCAGAGAATCAAACCTATACGTGAGGCCGCAATTATCAAATATGCTTTTCATATTTTAAGCCACGCCCTTACGTGCTTAACCTTAAAGCACGCCCTTACTTTCTTAACCTTAAAACACGCCTGTGATTTCTTAATCTTAAAACACGCCCTTACGTGCTTAACCTTAAAACACGCCCTTAGTTTCTTAACCTTAAAACACGCCCTTACTTTCTTAACCTTAAAACACGCCCTTACTTGCTTAACCTTAAAGCACGCCCTTACGTGCTTAACCTTAAAACACGCCCTTACTTGCTTAACCTTAAAACACGCCTATACTTTCTTAACCTTAAAACACGCCCTTACTTGCTTAACCTTAAAACACACCTATACTTTCTCAACCTTAAAGCACGCCCTTACTTTCTTAACCTTAAAACACGCCTATGATTTCTTAATCTTAAAACACGCCCTTACGTGCTTAACCTTAAAACACGCCCTTACTTTCTTAACCATAAAACACGCCTATACTTTCTTAACCTTAAAACACGCCCTTACTTGCTTAACCTTAAAACACGCCCTTACGTGCTTAACCTTAAAACACGCCCTTACTTTCTTAACCTTAAAACACGCCTATACTTTCTTAACCTTAAAACACGCCCTTACGTGCTTAACCTTTAGTCACATTCATTCATGCTTAACTTTACATCACACCCCTGCATGCTTAACCTTAAAACACGCCCTTACGTGCTTAACCTTAAAACACGCCCTTACTTGCTTAACCTTTAGTCACATTCATTCATGCTTAACTTTACATCACACCCCTGCATGCTTAACCTTAAAACACGCCCTTACGTGCTTAACCTTAAAACACGCCCTTACTTGCTTAACCTTAAAACACGCCTATACTTTCTTCATCTTAAAACACGCCCTTACTTGCTTAACCTTAAAGCACGCCCTTACGTGCTTAACCTTAAAACACGCCCTTACTTTCTTAACCTTAAAACACGCCTATACTTTCTTAACCTTAAAACACGCCCTTACTTGCTTAACCTTAAAGCACGCCTATTCTTTCTCAACCTTAAAACACGCCCTTACGTGCTTAACCTTTAGTCACATTCATTCATACTTAACTTTACATCACACCCCTGCATGCTTAACCTTAAAACACGCCCTTACGTGCTTAACCTTAAAACACGCCCTTACTTGCTTAACCTTAAAACACGCCTATACTTTCTTAATCTTAAAACACGCCCTTACTTGCTTAACCTTAAAGCACGCCCTTACGTGCTTAACCTTAAAACACGCCCTTACTTTCTTAACCTTAAAACACGCCTATACTTTCTTAACCTTAAAACACGCCCTTACTTGCTTAACCTTAAAACATACCTATACTTTCTCAACCTTAAAACACGCCCTTACGTGCTTAACCTTTAGTCACATTCATTCATGCTTAACTTTACATCACACCTCTGCATGCTTAACCTTAAATCAAACCCCCTTCTTTTAGACTGACAGAACATTCTTTTGTGGAACAAATTAGGAAAATATACCAGAACTGTTTTTGCAGTCTGTATCTTTAGTGTGTGAGTCGCCCTTGGAGATGCACTTGGAATCTTCTTCTGTTGATGCACGGCCGCCATGTTCCGTTGCGACCTGATCTTTACACAGTATAAAACCATTTACATTTTCGTTGTGTCTTGAATTAATAATTATGGGAACATACTGACGGGAATTAATGGAAGTATAGAGCCTTTGAACGAGCAGGAATAATTGACAACGGTCTGTCTCTCAACGTATTTGTTTCAAAGGTTTCGTAAATGGAAGCCGAAATGTCACTCAATTGATCTTGGGAAACTTTCAGACTAAAGACACACTTGAAAAATTAAATAGTAATACACGTATGAACAATGCGTTTCTCGAGACTATTCCATCAGCACCCATCTTTCTTTAGGACCACTTATCATCGTCCACATCCACCATTCTCCACTAAGTATTCTGTAAGAGGGGAAGTTATGTTATTTTAATAATGTAACAGTCTCCATTGAACATCCAGCGACATTCAAGTCAGTAAAGCGACCTTGTTTGTCTGTTAAGACCTATTCTTCCCTTGGAATATCTATTGGGATTGTCTTCTTTGAAATGTTGAGATACTGGTGTTTGTTGTCATAGAACAGCTAACATACGTAAATGTCATGATCGTTTGCAATTTGAAAATATGTCACGTTTTTCGGAGGGCAAGGGTAGTCCAAGCATCTAAGGCGCCGCGATTCGATGCGCAGAGTTGCGTCCCTTGAGCACGCCAGAAACCTATGATTGTGGATTCGAATCCCGCTTCGCCCCGATTATGTTTCTAGGTTCATCAGCACCATACCCGTGCTCGTGGTTTTCACAGAAGTGGTAAACGTCTGAGACCTGCATCACTTCGGGCTTACCTCCCACATTAAGCTAACACACCGTGATATAACTGGAATAGTGTTAAAATCGGCGTTAAACCCAACCCACTCACTCACTCACTCATGTTTTTTTGACATTGTAAATAAGAACATCTGCACGCAAAGAGATTTGAAAAATTGTCCATGATATACTTAAGTGTTCACTTTGACGGGGATTGTGAAAGGCTAGTACTTAATCAGCTTCTATGAGAATGTTAGAAAGCATGATAGATTGTGTATGATATATTTTTATGGTATGTAGTGTATGGAATAAAATTGACGTTTTTTTGATCGCGTAAGTAGTTTGTTTTAATCCAATCATAACATTTGATATACTGCATCTACGATAATATCCGAATGCGATTAAATCTGTTAATACTGAACTGAGAACTGTTGAGATTCTGAAATCGGCAATCGTCTGTAAAGTTGCTAAATGAATTACCCCCTTTAAAACCATGCAACTCTCCCAGGAAATCATACAGAGCACAGTGGTCAAGACATTAATGTGCGTGTATGTGTTAGTTGAATCGTGTTAGCGGTGGGGTGGCCTAGTAGTTAAAGCGTTCGCTCGTTACGCCGGAGATACGGGCTCGATTCCCATCATTGGTACAATGTGTGAAGTCCATTTAAGGTTTCCCCCGTCGTGATGTTGATGGAATATCGGTGAAGAAGGCGTAAAACCTTCTTTAGTTGAATCCTGAACATTTCTGCCATCAATCAGTAGTAAATTCAGCACTGCCGCATCTAGTATGCACCCCTGACAAGGCTGAGCCACTGTGACTCTGATTACTCCACCTGTATGTCACTTCCCACACGAAGCTTTGGGACCAGGTTATTAACCATAATAAACAGACCGCCTCCGTGGTCTAGTGGTACAGCATCCGCCCGGAGAGCGGAAAATCCGGGGTTCGATTCCCGGCCGCCTCATACCAAAAGGACCGCCTCCGTGGTCTAGTGGTAGAGCATCCGCCCGGAGAGCGGAAGATCCGGGGTTCGACTCCCGGCCGCCTCATACCAAAAGGACCGCCTCCGTGGTCTAGTGGTAGAGCGTCCGCCCGGAGAGCGGAAGGTCCGGGGTTCGACTCCCGGCCACCTCATACCAAAAGGACCGCCTCTGTGGTCTAGTGGTAGAGCGTCCACCTGGAGAGCGGAAGGTCCGGGGTTCGATCCCCGGCCGCGTCATACCAAAAGACGATAATAGATTGGGTATTCGTGTTAAACTGCGGCATAGTATCTCAGTGGGCTAGCACTATAAATCAGCATCAGTCCGGGCTAGTACAAGCAGCCACACAAACACACACACGTACATGCACGTCGCTATATAAGTGCAATAATCTTGGACGCGACGTTAAACCCCATTTCACCTCACCTCACCTCATACCAAAAGACGTTAAAAGATGGTACTTGTTGTTACCCTGTCTGGCGCTCGGCATTAAGGGTCTAAAACAAGAACTGGTCGGCTCGGAGTCAGTATGTTGTGTCTGAGTGGGGTATTCATGTTAAACTGCGGCATGGTATCTCAGTGGGCTAGCACTACAACATCGACATGAGTCCGGACTAGTACAAGCAACCACACACACACATGCATGCACGTCGTTATTATAAATGCAATAATCCCGGACGCGACGTTAAACCCCATTCAATTCTTTATTTCAGTATAAAGGCCATAGGCCAACGTACAAATACTCATTGAAAAATACAGTATGAGGCAGATGACAGAGGGTATTAAGTGACAGTATTTCGGATTGCAAGTGCTTCCAGTATATACTTAACACAATTAGTTACAATACTAGCGCGGTTACAAGATAATAGTGTATTACATTTAAATAAAGTAGGATTGGAAGAGTAATAAATAGGTAAATACTTATTTCTTAAATATCTGTAACATGGTCAGAAAAGCATAAAATGAAACTCATCTTCAATTTCCTGTAAATTACAAAATCTGCACTGCCTATTACAGTACTCTATACCGCATCTTCTACCTAAATTTACCATCAATGGTAACTCGCCAACTAACAAACAAAACATACGTCTATAATGACGGCTTGTGATTTCACAGAGATACTTTTCAACTGTTAACAATGACTTATATTCCTTATACATTGATAATTTACGTATTTCACAAACTTTACAATACCAGTCCAGTTAGTTACAGTCTTCTAACCTTTGAATAAATGCATTAATAAAGAGGGTCTCATTACCAACTTCCTGCGAAATCCACAAGTGGCCAAATCCATAACTGAATAATAATCTTTTGACACAAGCGATTAACTTCATCTAAAGATTTCAGCATTAAATAACATTGCTTAGGGTATCTATAACTGGGTAAAGATAACAATTTTAACCAATATTTAATACATCATCAATAAATAATCCACATCTACCACATTCGCCAAGGGCAGCAACATTTGTAACATGACTTCCAATTCAAAAGTAAATTTACAGAATTTAATCTGAAATTTTTCAATTGCTGCAATTTTTGAATAGCCCCATATTTCTGAAGTGTATAATAATACAGGCTTAATTTGAATGTCAAATATTTTAAAAAGTATATGTACGGGTATGTTCTTCAAACAATGCTGTAATTTCTTAACAACGAACAGAGCCTTATTTGCCTTCTGAACAAGAGAGTTGATACCAGTCGTCCAACACAGCCGATTTGAAAATAACAAACCTAGATAATTATAATAGGTAGATACATTAACATTAACATCTCCACACCTCTATTTCTCAGTACTCCTAAGTTTTCCACCATTTCTGAACACTAAAATTTCAGTCTTACTAAGGTTAACTTCTAAACCCCATTTAGTACAGAAAGATTTAAGGATATTAAGTTTTCGTTGGAGACCAACTACAGTATAATCAATTATGCACAAATCATCGGCATATAATAACAACAAAATGTCTAGAGATTCTTGACTTACAAATATTACCCTCTCGCCGGAGGACTGCAACATTGATTCTAATTCAACAATAAGCAAAGAGAACAATATAGGGCTAAGGGTGCAACCCCATTTCACCTCATCTCATAATAAATATTAGACACAGTATAATCGAGGATATAGGATATTTGTAACTGACAAATATTTTACACCAATTCCTACATGATGTTCTGACCCATAAAGTGAGCTTGTGTTATTCCATATATGGGTGGAGTGAACAGACAGTGAGCATGTTTATCTGCATCCCTTTATAACCACACAACGCTTTGGAAGTTGTGCATGACACAACACATCCCATCTGGAAACACACCCCGAGTGTGTTGGTTGGTTGGTTGGTTTGTGGTTTAACGCCGCACTCAGCAATATTCCAGCTATATGACGGCGGTCTGTAAATAATCGAGTCTGGACTAGACAATTCAGTGATTAATATCATGAGCATCGATCCACGCGATTGGGATCGATGACATGCATCAACCAAGTCAGCGAGCCTGACCACCCGATCCCGTTAGTCGCCTCTTACGACAAGCATACTCACCTTTTTCGGCAAGCATGGATTGCTGAAGATCTATTCTACCCCGGAATCTTCACGGGTCCCGAGTGTGTACCATCTCAGCATTTGTAAAGACTACTCTTGTTTAGAAATGAAATGACGTTGTCAAATAACGGATGACAGAGGAAAAACATGTAAAGAACAGCAGTTGTCATATACCAGTGATTATACCAAGAAGATTTCTAGGCTTTGGAATCTTCGACCATTATTTACGTCATACATTTGATGAAGGGTAAACAAGTGTTGCCAATATTGTTGTCGCTATATTGAGGAATTAAGATACATATGTAATTACAAGACATAAATAATATACCTTAATTACTAGATATTGATATGTCGTACATTTCATTCGCACATTAAAACACTTTGTTGTCGCTATATTGAGGAATTAAGATACATATGTAATTACAAGACACAAATAGTATACCTTAATTACTAGATATTGATATGTCGTACATTTCATTCGCACATTAAAACACTTTGTGTCGCTACATTGAGGAATTGTGATACATATGTAATTACAAGACATAAATAGTATACCTTAATTACTAGATATTGATATGTCGTACATTTCATTCGCACATTAAAACACTTTGTGTCGCTACATTGAGGAATTATGATACATATGTAATTACAAGACATAAATAGTATACCTTAATTACTAGATATTGATATGTCGTACATTTCATTCGCACATTAAAACGAGTAGTTTCAGTGTAAAATCGTACCCAAGGAGACAAGTGAAGGATCAGTTTTCAGTGAAGACTGATCCGAGACCATGGAAATGTCAAGGTTTACAAATATATTCAAATATTCTATACTAAAAGATACCGATAAAGACATGAAGTTTCTTATTAATCTGAGATTTAGCGATTAGCTCGTTCATGCAGGGGGTACCACAGTACCACCAACCAACACAATAACACAAAATCTGAGTGAAAACACAAGAGTGTATTAGCCACAGAGTGATGAATGTTTACAGTCAATTATAGAATGTTTACAATCACTTATAGATAATAAATATACAGATGTACACAGACTGGGTGTGTAAGTTGGGTTTAACGCGGCTTTCCAGTAATATCACGGCGTGTTAGCTTAACGTGGGAGGAAATCCCCACGTCAAATGCGAGAGGTGGTTCAAACGTTCTGAGCCTAACCACGAAGGATGTATGGTAAACCCTTAACAGTATAAGCATGTATTAAGTACAATTCTTTCCATTCTAACAGGCTGCATTTGAACCAAATACGCAACCATTTATCATTGTGAAAATAGGTTTTCTCTGTTAATGAAAATGGATAAAAAAACCAACAGCCATTGATGCGGACATGGTTTAGGGGATAATGATCCTTCCGCCACTATCAAGAGGTGGACAGCAGACTTCAAGAGGGGAAGAAAGAGCCGCAAAAGTGATCCAAGATCAGGTGGACCTTAAAGTGACACTACTATATAATTTGATAAAATAGATGACACGATCATGGATGATCGACGTCTCATCACAAGTCACATAGCTAATAAGTAGGCCGATAGGCATCTATCAGAAGGTTGTTGAGGAAATGAACGGGGCTCCGAGGCTTCTGACTCCTGGGCAGAAACACTGCAGAAAATTTGGGTCGTTTTGAAGCAGACCCAGCTGATGTAACTGTCGATGAGTGTTGGGTTCACCACTATGACTTAACAACAATCCAAGCTGTGGAAGCATCAAAGGTCTATGTGACCGAAGAAGGCGAAGTCTGTTCCATCAGCTGGTGAGGTGATAGCTTCCGTTTCAGGAAAGGTCAGACTATTAAGGGTCAATCTAATCAGGCAACTATGTGAAAATATCAAACATAAACGTCGTGGCAAACTCACTAAAAGTGCGCTGTTTCTCCAGGACAATGCACACATGTACAAATCTGTTGTCATGACTACAATGCATGAACCTGGATTTGAACTCATTAAACATCCTTCGTATTCACCAAATTTGGCAACGTCAGATATCAACCTCTTCCGAAACTTGGAGAAAGAACTGTCTGGTCTTAATTATGCAAATGATGATGACCTTATGATGGGAGAACTGTTTACACCAACATTGGAAGCCTTTCACACCCGTGGAATCCAGGTGCCAGCATCGTTGACAGTAGTGTATGGTCCATTGGTGGGGATGGGGGGGTGTTATGTTGGAAAATTATTAGCAATTACATGTAAATCCATCAACGCTCACATTAGGCTCAGAACCTTCCTCCCAATCCTTGTACATTTATACCACAGTACCTATTCACACACGATACAGTATATGTCTATCAGAATAAACTTGCCAATGTAAAACCATATATAAAGTAAAACAGGAATGACATAATCAATCTATTCACAACACAATTACAAAGAGAATTTCTAAAAATATAGAGATAAGAGAAAAAAAAATTACGAATGGGTTCGCATTTAGTACATGCAAAATTCAAGTCTTGAGAAGAAACAACTGTATCAAATGTCCAGCTAGAATGACCTATGAGACTCAATAAAGTACAATACATTACAGTAAAATATAAATTAAAACACGACATAAACTAACTAAAATACATCAACGCGAACACAGTTTACATTAATAGTTACATACCATCACTCCACAGCAAGCATTCATAACATACCTACACACAACATACATACACATACGCTGCATCAACGCCCCACCCTCACCGGACAAACGTACAATCACCTATACTTACAAAGCCTCCTTACATGCAAATGCGCCAAATGGTTCCGTACACATATGGACGTACGTGTATTGCCGTGGATGTTTAAAATAGTTATATATATCTTATACGAATCTGGGTGTTTAATTTAATTTAATTTTATTTGACAGAGGCACATGTGACTTAGTTTTTTTACCAGTGAAGTGATGAAGGATATAGTGGTAAACAAGTGAAGGTGTTTGAATTTGTTTTCATAATCTCTCATAATTCTGGATCTGTACTATGTCCAAACTGTGTAATCAAAGCCTTGCCTGTTAAAGGTACTGAAACGTGGTTTGCTAGTCAGGTGATACATATGATGTGTTTTGGGATTTGAGGGTGTTATTTAGTATCAGATGTCAGGATATTTCATTTTGAACCGACGGCGTACTTTTCACTACACCTAATCCCTAACTTGTGGTATTGTGAAATGTGTATTGTGAAATATGTCCAATGTTCCAATGGTTACAGTAGCATTATTTCTGTAGAGAATCTCACCTGAGTGTCTTTGATATGAAATATATTACCACAAGTCAATAAACATTTCTTGGCGAGTGAGATTTTATTTAGCATCCAAACTCATTCCAACACAAGTATCTCCTTTTCGGTAGTTAAGTTTTATAGGTTTACTGTTTCTGATTTCTGGGCACAATCTATCCTCAATACCCCATGCTTCTGTTGAGGGCCAACAGGATCGCTATCTTTTAATGTTAAATCTGGTTGATTTTTATATGATCCAATTCCTCATATAGTGGGTATCTTGCTTGCGCCGCTAGTTTGCCTTGTCCAGATGTGATCATTTACACACCGCCTCCGTGGTCTAGTGGATAGAGCGTCTGCCCGGAAAAAAAGGGTCGGTGGTTCGATCCCCGACCGCGTCACACCAAAAGACACAAAAGGACGGTACACGTTGTTGTCCTGTCTGGCGCTCGGCATTAATTAATGAGATAAAAGAAGCAAAACGGCGATAGAAAAAAAACATATTCTACACGCACGGAACCCAAAGGGCATATGCTGGAGTCATCAACCCACTATTGTAGCTTCACTCTTGTTTAGTTGAATCTTCATCGAGCCTTCTGGCTCACAGCCTCCGCAGTTCCCACCACATCGCAGATTAACCCTCCAAGCATCAACCCAGTCGACTGTTTGACTGGCACGCCAACCACTGGTAATCCAGGTTTGCTGGTGAACGAAAAAAGAGATGTCAAGTTTAGGACAAGGTGAAGAAAATAGACGTTTAAACACTTCATGAACATTCACGTGTGCAAACTGCTGACCTGTAGATTTTACATTCTCAAACAGTTTTGAGTCTTTTAAGCAATTGAAGTAGTTATGATGCTATTCAAAGATGACCCTGAAACATGCTGCCAGAAATAACTACAGTATTTGTGATGTGGCGATTTCTAATACTCTATCACTCAGTTACATATATATAAAGATATACATATAAAATATTAAGCTTGAAGGAAACTAAGAATATGTGTTAAATGCATTCATGTCATAAATAGTTCCTAAAGCGTTAAATTATACCAACTTTCACCGATTTAACGTGAGAAAGTCAGTGAGTTTGGTGGGTACTGAACTGAAAAAAGCATGAGGTGCCTGGACCACCAAACTCGTTACCAACATGTTATCATGTTGTACATGTAGTAGTGTATTTTGAAATCTAGAAATAAATTGAAATGTATGATTTCACCGAAGGATTCAGTTGAAATCCAGTTCCTGACAGATCGATACTGAAAGTTCCCTTTGGTGGACATGCTACGTTAGGTTGTTCCCCATAACAGTCGTAGGCGCCACCGTATGGCTTCAGTTTTGTTGTGCCATCCGCAAACGTCGTATCCGTCACTACCACAGTAAAATTCTGCAAATAGATGGAGTGAGTTTGGTGCAAGGTTGCTTTTAACAACGTTCCGATTATATGAAAAGCATAAACATAGTAAACAAACAAAGTTAGGGATCATGAACATTTTTTGGAATATTTTTATGAAATTGTGTACTCAGTCTTCACTACCAAAAATATTTACGATCCCCAACTTTATACATGACCGATTCATTCACGGTTGATTAACCTGCGTATGGTTGTCCCTGGTATTGCCCGTCATTCCGCCTGAAGAGCTACCCAAAGCTGGGCCAAGTTGGCGGGTGCTGGGTACCGCCCGAGAACATCACACAGATGCTCTATTGGGGACATGTTAGGGGACTTATACGACCCCAATGTCCGTATACCTTCTCGTCGGAGATAATCGGTGACGACTTGGGCATGATATAGTCTGGCACTTTAATCATACAGTTCAAATTTTCTGCCGATAATTCAAACGAATGGAACAGTGACGGGACGCAAAGTTTGGTCAGCGTTTCGTTGATCAGTCTAATGTCCATTCACAATAAACAAATCAGTTTCCCCAACAACGCGTACGTTTTCTGCTATCTGTGAATCGGAGGCAAAACCTTGATTCGTCTGTAATCGTGGCGCACAACCGCCCCTCGTGTTGCCTAGCCTACCCCAATCGTTGCCGACAATGGTAAACTGTTAGGGTCGACCACATCCTTAACAGGACGCCTTGACTTCAGGCTGTATGAGATGTTAAAATTCGCCTTCATGTTATTGTACGGATTTCTTTTGCTAACAGGAGCAGATTTGAATCTTTTGCAGTGCAATTAATTTAATGAGACGATCTTGTCTAGTTGTCGTCTTTTAGGCCTGCCACACCCAGGTCGCATTGCAACTCCACCCGTTTGACGGTACTTGTCCCACAGTCGAGAAAGTATACTTTTTGTGATATGCCCAACGTTCGGGCAAATTGGGATTTTGACATGCACTTTTCTATCGTAAACACAGTTCGCCATTTTGTGTGTTCACTGAGGAACTGTCACGGAGGCATTTTTGAGCTTGTGCTTACCTCAATGACATTAGTTATTGTCAGTTCCCCTACTGGCACACATACTTTGCCTTCTGTGTACACCTTCATCCCGGGCTGTTCACATGCAATAAGGGGGCACGGGTGACCCATTCGTCTAAGGCGCCGCGATTCGCTGTGCAGAGTTGCGTCCCTTGGGCACGCCAGAAACCTATGATTGTGGGTTCGAATCCCGGTTCGCCCCGATTGTTTCTAGGTTTGTTAGCACCATACCCGTGCTCGTGGGTTTCACCGAAGTGGTAAAAGTCTGAGACCTGCATCACTCCGGGCTTTCCTCCCACATTAAGCTGGCACGCCGCGATATAACTGTAATACTGTTAAAAGCGGCGTTAAACCCAACTCACTCACTCACTCACATGCAATATGCAATATGTTGGTATTGAAAGTGTATACATCAACAATACTAGAAATTCAAAATCATTGTTCCCTTACTTTGGTCGGTATAATTCCATACCTGTATGTCTATTCTTATCTTCTGGAAAGTTCTTGTTCCAGCAAACATCCTTTTTTCGACATTGGTCAAAGGAATCTCTCCGGCGCATTGGTTATTCTGGATATCAGGATAATAACCGCTGTTAGGTTTGGCCAAAGTTAAGAACTCTTGTGGGTTTGTCGACGTCATGTTGTAACAGTATATCCTCGCTCTTTGGTTCTCTCCAAGATAAAGCCAGAATTCGCCATCTGTACTAGAAATACCATTTTGTGTGACCGCTGCACAAGAGGTTGGCGCTGCTGAAATAGTTTACAAACAGAACCATTGATTTTACAGTTTAGCATTTCATTTTTGGTGACCCCACCTCCAAAATAACTACGTACATGTATATAATCCTGTTAGTTAATATTTTGTTCTTCTCCAGTAGAATTAGAAAAAGAGCCTACCCAGATTCCTCAAATTATTCCGTTATTTACGGAAATGTAAATATGACTATCGCATTCCATTGAAGTCGGATCGACTCACCAAACAAATGTCAAGTGGCAGAACATTAAGTTCTGCAATTCTGTGTAAAATATGTACAGGATAATACAGGTGACACACCACTTCATAAAGCAGCAGGACGGGGATCTACAGGGTGTGTTGAAGTGTCACTGGAGGCGGGAGCTAAAGTGAATGTACAGAATAATACAGGTGACACACCACTTCATAAAGCAGCAGGACGGGGATCTACAGAGTGTGTTGATGTGTTGCTGAAAGCGGGAGCTAAAGTGAATGTACAGAATATACAGGTGACACACCACTTCATAAAGAAGCAGGACGGGGATCTACAGAGTGTGTTGATGTGTTGCTGAAAGCGGGAGCTAAAGTGAATGTACAGAATAATACAGGTGACACACCGCTCCCAACAGCAGCAGGACGGGGATCTACAGAGTGTGTTGATGTGTTGCTGAAAGCGGGAGCTGATGTCAATGTACAGAATAATACAGGTGACACACCGCTCCCTACAGCAGCAGGACGGGGATCTACAGACTGTGTTGACTTGTTACTGAAGGTGGAAGCTAAAGTGAATGTAAAGAATAATACAGGTGACACACCGCTCCCAACAGCAGCAGGACGGGGATCTACAGAGTGTGTTGATGTGTTGCTGAAAGCGGGAGCTGATGTCAATGTACAGAATAATACAGGTGACACACCACTTCATACAGCAGCAGTACGGGGATCTACAGAGTGTGTTGATGTGTTGCTGAAAGCGGGAGCTGATGTGAATGTACAGAATAATACAGGTGACACACCGCTCCCTACAGCAGCAGGACGGGGATCTACAGACTGTGTTGACTTGTTACTGAAGGTGGAAGCTAAAGTGAATGTACAGAATAATACAGGTGACACACCGCTCCCTACAGCAGCAGGACGGGGATCTACAGAGTGTGTTGAAGTGTCACTGGAGGCTGGAGCTAAAGTGAATGTACACAATAATGCAGGTGACACACCACTTCATAAAGCAGCAGGACTTTTGTGGAGCCGTGAAGATCCAGGGTAGAATAGGTCTTCAGCAACCCATGCTTGCCGTAAAAGGCGACTAACGGGATCGGGTGGTCAGGCTCGCTGACTTGGTTGATACATGTCATCGTATCAAAATTGCGTTGATCGACGCTCATAATATTAATCACTGAATTGTCTGGTTCAGACTCGATTATGTACAGACCGCTGTCATATAGCTGGAATATTGCTGAGTGCGGCGTTAAACAACAAACAAACAAACCAAACAAACTTTTGTTTGTGTAATACCCTAGGCCTGTCACTAATGTTATACTGAATAAAAGCGTCAAACAAATAAATAATACTCATATCGGGGAATTTAATTCACTGATCATCCCATCACTGAGAAATATATTGCCAACTGTGTACGAAGTGTAGTTTCGCAACTAATTGTTCATGGCGTCACAAATGAGTTTATAGGACATGTTACAAACAATAGAGCTCATGTATCCTTATTTGCAATAAAATCTAAGAATTTACTCACAGCTGGGAATTACGACGTACGTGTTATTTGTCAATAAATTATGAAAGTATGTTTGCCCCAAAATATTATAAAGAATTTAATTGAAAATGGTATATTTCATCAAAAATTTGAATTAACATCTTAACATATAATTGAATCACGTGTGAATATTCATCGATCCCGGTTGTGTGGATCGCTACTTATGATATCAATCACTGGATTGTCTGGTCCAGACTCGATTATTTACACAGACCGCCGTCATATAGTTGGGATATTGCTGATTGCGACGTTAAACAACAAACAAACAAATAAAAGACATGTAAATATTGATCAATTCAAAAGATTTACTTGACGATATACAATCTCTTGAACAGGAAAGATTTTTAAACTTTGAAAAACGTTTGATTTTTCCAACCCTTACAAACCTATGAAAAATTGAATTAGAATTGATATTCTCAAACTAATACGTTTTTCTTATTTCCATGAAAGATGTTCGGAAATTTAATTGTGTTACATCGATTGACTGTGGATGTGGTCTAGTTGATTTGTTAAGACTGAAATTAACTCTACACAGATATTTTCGGATATCCAAATATGTGAGTTGCTTGATTTCCCTATTGGCAGTACAATTGTAAAATATGCTGATATGGCAATAAGACAAATAGTAGGTATATCTATGATTACTAAAGTAACTCTGCCCTCTCCCAGTTGATGTGTTTCTCTTTGCATTCGAATTTGTTTTTCGAACTCTTTTAGTTAAATGAAAGAGGAGACATGTTACAAAAGAGTTGAAGTAGAGGGGAATGTCCGAGTAACTCTCCATTCCTTAAAAATAATTGAGCAGAGGCCCCGCAGGGGCCGAGGCCCATAATTTTTAAGGAATGGAGAGTTACGAGGATATTCCCCTACTTAAAACTCATCTAAAACAAAATATTCTGTAGTTGAAAATATTTGAAAAATTCAAATGCTGCTTCAAGATAATGTACAGTTGACAAGGAACTCTCCATTCCTGAAAAATAATGGAGCGTTCAAACAATAGAATGACGTCACAGGTGTGTTTTAACTTCAGTTTCTGTTGAATAGATGTCACAATTTCTTTAAAAAATGCCAAGATAAATGTGTATCTTTGTCACGGTGAAGTGCTCCTGAGACCAGGGTGTCATAAATAAAAACAAAGAAATAATAGAAAACGGGTAACAAAAGCAAGGCAATCTAAAGGATCAAGGTCCCAAGTGACAGTGACAATGATCACTGATTAATAAACCAGAACACATATACAGTTGCTAAGCTACTGTATAACACATACCACAAAACTAAATCACCAAAATGCACAGAGACCCAATTAAGCGAGCTGTGACAAATAAAAAACAACAAAGAAAGAATAGAAAACGGGTAACAAAAGCAAGGCAATCTAAAGGATCAAGGTCCCAAGTGACAGTGACAATGATCACTGATTAATAAACCAGAACACATCTACAGTTGCTAAGCTACTGTATAACACATACCACAAAACTAAATCACCAAAATGCATAGAGACCCAATTAAGCGAGCTGTGACAAATAAAAACAAAACAAAGAAAGAATAGAAAACGGGTAACAAAAGCAAGGCATTCTAAAGGATCAAGGTCCCAAGTGACAGTGACAATGATCACTGATTAATAAACCAGAACACATATACAGTTGCTATGCTACTGTATAACACATACCACAAAACTAAATCACCAAAATGCATAGAGAGCCAATTAAGCGAGCTGTGACAATTAATCAATATGAATTAATGTCTGGACAATCCTTGGCGCACAGTCGCAAACGCGAACAGGAATAATTGGTTCTGGGACTGTGCTTGCTGAACAAAAACAGTTTGATGCAAATGTAGGGGATGCTATTGCTTCACCAGTTGACATACTATCTTCTGTAAAGTGTTATCAAGATGTATTACAGTGCGCTCGATCCAAAGTAGACTATGTTTTGGGGGCAGGACTATACTTGTCTCTGTGTAATAGGGAACTTAAGACTGGTAAAGTTGTAGGCTATAATGATAAAGTTGTTATTGCTTCTGATCAACAAAAACGAGGTATAAATTCAGATATTAACACTTAATTAATAATACAAACCATTACAGGCGCAACAGGAAAAGTAAAACCACAGTCATCTACAAAACCACGTGTTTCACAGTCACAATTGTCACGCCACATACTGCGACAAAAAATCAACAACATATTGATGAAAAAACAGTGCTTATAGTAGGTGGAGTCACGATTTGGATCTTTAGCATCTTTGAGTCTTTAGCGGCTACATACAACAGCCCAGCAATTGCTACTATCACTGCCCACAAGTGTTGACTAAGCCAAGTGGCGTTCTTGGCTAATAAATTAATAAATTAATAGAGCTATTATACCAGGAAGTGTAAACGTGGCTTTACCAGTGAGCTTTGCTAGTGCTTCTCCTAATGCCTTTAAGTGCATTTTTATCCACTCTTTTACATCGTCCTTATCACTAGGAGGCGTGCCACCGCCTCTACCACCAGTTAACGCGAGAGCTAAAGTTGATATAATAAATCCCAATGCGGTTAAAATACTGGTAATGGTTATCCCTGTTCTCTGAACAGTGTTTAATTTTTTTCAGCTAGTGTGGTATCATCGTTGAGGACTTGGTCAATAATTTCTCGAAATCGACTGATTTGTGAACAAAGTGCTTCTCTATTAGTGGAAGCTGCTTCCAAACAGGCTGATATTTCATCTTCTAAGTTATACAATCTTTCTGCAACATGGTGTCTACTGAATTAATCATCTGCCTGTGTAGGTTTTGGTTTCTCATAAGATATATGCTTGTCGTGTTCATCTAGCTTGGCTATATTATTGATGAGTGATGATTTGCAATTAGTTTGACTCCTACTGACCTTATCAGGGAGCTTGTTCAGAACATACATGTAGGTCATGCAATTGTAAAGAAGATCATGATTACAATTAGCGGTAATGATGTTTTGAGTATTGACGACAGTGATGTATACTTCTGTTACACGGATCTTTGGAGAAGAGCCAAAGAATGGGAAAACTTACAGCATCAAGGTATTGGTAATAAAAATGTAATGAGACTGCGTGTTGGTGATAATACCATCGTAGAAGATAAGGCTGTTGCTGATGTCGTAGGTATTCTGCTTGACTTTGAATTACTAGATAGTCACATGCCCTTCTGGCAAGCATCCCTAGGTGATAGGTTAGAATATGAACTCACTTTAATGACTACAGCAGAGTAATCAAAAACGTTGACATAGGTAGCCAATCCATTGTTAATA